GGCGTGTGGTGGCATTTCAAATAATTCAAAATGAGTTACTTCAATTATTTCACGGACAGAATACCACAACTCACTTTATTTTTGCCAAACAAGTTATATTGACTCGAGTTATTTGTACCAATATACTTCACAGTAATGTTACATCCAAACCACCTATACGTTTGCCAAATAGGAAAGTAAAAATTTGAGGAAGGTGAAAATGGCAAGGGCCTAAATTTTAGAGAGTGTAAGTGAATGAGAAATTCATTTTTTTTAAAGAAAAGGTAATGGATGCGAATAGGATGAAAAGTAATTGAAAACTTTAATTATTAAATAAAATATATAATTTAAATAATATTCAAAATATTAATAGAGATGCTCGTACCACATAATTCTTGAGATAATAATACTCAAATAGTAATTAATATAAAAATTATAAAGAATATTGTTAGGCCTATAACCTTCGTCGTTGGTCAAACAATGTCGAGGATAATGAGTAGACTCGAAACACAATCCTTAGCCAAAATAGGTCTATAGCTCACAAAATAATTATTGAACATAATAATAGTATTTTTCATATTATTTTTGTATCTCACCCCTCCATCCACTCTTTTTCTATCTTTTTGCACTCCAAATTGAGGGAGACTACAAATATAACCAATTACATTAAATAGGGTTTCGGGCCTCTATTCAACATTCCAGTTGGGTCCTGTCTACTCATCCGCACCCTCCTATGTGTATCCCTCATGTCATTACGGAGGGCAACGACTCGAAGGTAGCCGAGCTTATAAATCCTAAGGGGGGAGGATGGTGTCGACAATCGTTTCAACAGACGTTTCCACCTGATGTAGTACGTGACATCTTGGTGATTCCCTTGCTCCGTATGGGTATAGAGGATAGATTGGTATGGCATGATACATGTGATGGAATGTTCACTGTCAAATATGCTTATTACCTAGCGGTTTTGGTGGATAGACAAGTTGGGGTGTGGCGTCCCATGATGAGTTGGATGAGAATGTGGTAACTCAAGATTCCACCTAAGCTAAAACTGTTCCTATGACAATTCTTTCACTGTATCCTACCTACTACTGAAGCTTTGATTGAGAAACGAGGCCAGATTTTCTCTCGATGTCTGGTGTGTTGGGCGGAATCTGAAACAATGGAACACCTCTTTTAGAAGTGTCCAATCGCTATAACCCTCTAGACTCATTCGGGTTTGGAGCATCTGGGGCACGGTTTGTCGCAACAAACCTTTCCTTTTTTCCTTAAGAAGTGTTTGCTTAGTATGACTCAGCCGACTCAGATTATGGCTCTGGTGGCGCTCTTGTGGCGTATTTGGAAATCTAGAAACTAGGCTACCTTTGAGGGCAAGCAGTTCTTCATTCCTCAACTGATGTGCCAATACCATCAACAGCTCCATGAGTGGGTGTCCTTACCAGAGGATAGATTGGTCCGAAATCAGTTTCCTTTGCAGCACAATCTGGAGGAGGTAGATTTGCCACCTATCGTCTGTATGTGAGATGGTGCGGTACGTGTTGGCTTACATTCAGCAGGAGAGCTGATCATAAAGGATGGAGCTGGAACTGTGTTATTAGCGAAAGGAATGTTTCTTGAAAGCATTGTGGACCCTCTTGTGGTTGAGACTATATATTGTCCTCCGTGAAGCTATTTAGTAGTGTCAGAATCTTGGCATCCCTCAAGTTCGGTTTGAGGATGATGTGAAGGTGCTCATTGATAAGACTAATGTCAAGGATGCGCAAGGCAGTCATGTTGGGGCTATTATCCATGAGATTCCGTGTCAGATGGCGTTGAATAGTGGTTTTCGTGTTCAGTTCGTGGGTCGGATTAGCAATACGGCAGGCCCATTCAGTGGTTAGGAAGACCCTTTCTTTGTCTCCAACTTCGTGTCGATTATAAGATTTTCGTGCCTGAGTTGGATACAGGATATAATATGTGATATTTTTATCAACCAATATGATTATCTTTTAAAAAAAAATTGAGGGATACTAGAATATTAACTTTACAAGTCATTTTTTTTATGAAGAACTTTACAAGTCATTTGCCCATCCTTAAAAAAATAGATATTTTTTTTCATCAAAATAAAATCATTACACTTTGTCTTCCTGCTTATCACGTGCTCTAACTAACAAAGAACAATAAAAGTAACCCAGAATAATAATAGCAAAAAGCAAAGTTAAAAAATCTAAGCATCCCACGGCTTTGGGATGGGATACGGCACTTCCCATTAGAGGATTGTTTCACAATCAAGGGTAATTTGGGTATAAAAAAAATTTTATTAATTTTTTTGTATTAATTACATATTGAAAATTAAAAACTCATATTAAATACATGTTTTTTTAAAAAATCCTACAATTAATACACTTATATCTCTCTCTACTTTTTTCACCAGCCTTTTCGCTCTGACCGCCAAACTCTGACCGACATATTTTTTTTCCGATGACAACCTTTAATTAGACTCACTCCGGCCACCTGCAAAAAAGTACAACTTCGTGAGTGCGCTAGTGGTAGTGATTTTCATCTAGTGTACAGTGGTACTAGTACGATACCAGAGAGTAGTGGTAGCGTACCGGTACCACTGGTGCGTACCACTACCACTAGTAGCGTACCAGTACCACTGGTACGGTACCAGTACCACTGATAGCGTACCACTAGAGACTAACACAAAAAACCAGATCTGGAATCTGGAAAATCACAGATCTAGGAGATGAGGAAAGGGAAAGGCAGGGGAGAGGCGGTGACCTCGTGGCGGCGCCGTGAAGACGGGAGGTGGTGAGAGGCGGAGGAAGGGGGTGGCAGAGGCGACGATGGTGTAAAGAAGGCGACAGGCGCGACTGGGGCGACGAGGGCAACGGGGGAGACGGGGACAACGTCGGCGTGAAGAGGACATTGGGAGGAAGGCAGCCATGACAATGATGATGGAGGTCTGCGTGGTGATTGAGGTCGACGATGATGGAGGTCGATGATGGAGCTCTTGACGACTAGGGTTTTTTGTTAGAGATAGGTGAGAGGGGACGAGGAGGGAAACACAGGAAATTAGGGGGAGGGTCTGATTTTTTTTTTGTTGTTGTTGTTGTTAATAAAGAGTATTTATATGGAAAATGGAAAGGATCTCATGTGGTAAGTTTTCCATTCCGAAATTTTCCTTGGTTTAATCTTAACCATTGATTTAAAAAACTAGAAAGAGACAGGAGAGAGAACATATCCGATGGTTGCAAAGTTGGTTGTAAATCTCACAACCCCCTTAGGAGGATGTCACCGTATCTCATCCCCACGGCCTTCGGACCAATTTCTTGTCAAACATAAATGACACTACCGTACCGTTTGGTACCAAATGAATCAAGAATTCATTTCATTGTAAAATGAATTACCGTATAGAATTCATTGTCAAATGAAATCTTGTGTTTGGTATGTCATACTCAAATCTGTAAAAAAAATATAATGAATTGTCGTGTAGAATTCATTGTCAAATGAATTCTTGTGTTTGGTATGTCATATATATAAGAAATTTAGTGAATAAAGAGGATAATTATGTTATTCTATCATAATTAGTAAATAGTTGTGCAATTCATTTGGAAATTCCATCTCAATTTCTCGAAATTGCTATAACTAGTAGCAATTCCATAGAATTCAAAATTTAGAATTGAAAATAAATTCTTTTGAATACCAAACACAAAAATGTTTTATTTCAAAATGAATTCCGCAAAACTTATAAAATTCATTTATATCAAACAATAAGTACAGGTTTGTTAAGATTCTATTTCTTAATCTTGTCAAAGGTTGTGATTCTGTCCAACAAATATCGACCAAGCAATGAGAGTATTCCTAGGCAAAGGATGTTGCAACCATAGGAGTTCATACCTACGCACAATAGTTTTTCTATGTCCAATTGTATTTCACACTGTTACAACTTTAAATCGAGGGAATGACTTTCTATACCAATAAATCGCCTGATAAAAAATTGTTAAAATTGAGACTGGGTAAATGTCACATTTGTCATTGGGATTACTAAATCGTGTTATGTTTAGTCACTAAAAAAATTAATATCAATTTTGGTCACTCGAATTACTAAAACAGGTCGCATTTAGTCACTCTCCAGTTAGCTTATGTCCAACTCCGGTCGCTCGATTTACTCTTTTTTTTTATGAATGTCACTCGAATTACTGAAATATGTCACATTTAGTCATTCTCCATTAGCCTCCGTCCAACTTCGTTAATGGAGTTGGATGGAAACTAACGGAAGAGTGACTAAATGTGACATATTTCAGTAATTCGAGTGGCCAAAATTGATATTATTTTTTTGGTTAAATTACACATTTGGTCACTCAAATAATACAAATCTTTCATGTTTGCCGCCCGAATCACTTTTCTTTCTTATTCGCCACTAACTTTACGAATCGTTTCACCGTTAGTCACTCGCTGTTACACTCAGTTAAATTTGTCCTACGTGGCAGTCAACTATAAAGTTTGACCGTTAACTAGATGACGTGGAAAATAAAATAAATTAAAAAATAAATTTATTTTAAAATCTCATCATTCCACTTACTTTGTTTTATCTTTTTAATTATTTAATAAAAATTAATTATCAACCGCTTCCTCCACATTGTCTTCCTCCCTTTCAAAGCTCAAGGCCATAGGAATTAGGATCCAAAGGACATTCATGGCGAGGCTGTTCGCCCGCCACGACGTCAAATCGGTGATCATCACCACTCTCCTGAACGCCCCTCTCTTCTCCAACCAGATCCACCAAGACGCTCAATTGGGTCTTTAAATCCAAACCCACATCATCAAATTCTCATGTGCCGAGGCAGGGCTGCTGGAAGGTTGCGTCAACGCCATCAAGTACCCGGACCTCATTATCCCGTTCTTCAAGTCCATGGTTGTCTTCCAACAACCCGTCGAAAATCTCCTCTGGTAGTGGCAGCAGGATTGCATCATTGTCGATGTGATCTTCTCCTGGACTACAGACACCGCCGACAAACTCTGCTTTCCGAGGCTCTTCTTCAAGAGAGCAGGGTTGTTTGCCATGTATTAATACCCTCAAACTCCACGAGCCTTACAAAGGCGTGGAATCTGAGTATGAACCCTTTGCGCGACGACGGTCGAATCAAAAGCGACAGCGCTCTCTTCACCCAGTCTCCTTCCACCCCGCCGATCCTCACCAGCGAATTCGTCATTGCGTAGCTCCTCATGTTCAGCCTGTTCGGCATGAATGAGCTCCCTCCGGTGTGGCCGTTCTGGTGGTTGTTCTTGTGGATACTGCAACGTAACGATCCGGGATACGAGGTCGAAGAGCACATACACGTCCTCCTCGCGGGGAGGCTGGAGATGTGATTGGTGTGCTTCGTCGCTATGTTGCGATTGGGAGATGTGGATCTGCTCGATCGAGAATCGGAATGTCGACGATGAAGGACTTTGGGAATATAGATTGACGCGCGTCAGAGAGGCGGATCTGTGGTGTGGAAGAAGGCCGACGACGGAGAGTAAAAGCTCGAGCTCGTGGAAGACGCGAACGCCGATGAGGACGAGGAAGACGAGAGATGACTGGCGGAGTTGTACGACGGGAATCGGCCTCGGGGAGAAAGCGACCGAAGCATCGGCCCGCTGGATCTCTTAGAATTCGAGCCCATGCCTTTTTTTTTCCAAAGCTTATGCATTAGACAAAGAAGGGCAGACAAGGGAGAGGAGGAGGAAGGAAGAGGCCCGTTGGTGCTCTAGAGGCGTCGGAGCAAAGCTTCACTTGGTTTGTGAAGGAAGAGGAATTCTCTCGCTAATAATCGATTTCATAATTTAATTAATTTTAATTAAATAATAAATATGATAAAGCATATAGACAAAGCAAGTGGAATGATGAGATGGAAAAATAAAATTATTTTTTAATTCATTTTAATTTTCATGTCATCTAGTTAACGGTCAAACTTTATAGTTGACTACCACGTAGGACAAACTTAACGGAGTGTAACGGCGGGTGACTAATGGTGAAACGATTCGTAAAATTAGTGGCGAATAAGAAGGAAAAGTAATTCGGGTGGCAAACATGAAAGATTTGTATAATTTGAGTGACCAAACGTGTAATTTGGCCTTAATGTTTTCTAGTGACTAAATATGACATGATTTAGTAATCTCAGGGGTCGTTTGGAAGTTGCGATTGTTTTGTTGAGATTGTCATTATGCATGTATTGTTTACAATGCATCGTTTTTTTGTTTTGTTTTTTTAGCAGAAACAATACATGGATTGTTTCTGTGACGTGACAGAAACTATCACTCATTTTGAGTGATTGTTATATCTCAACTTTTAGTTGTGATTGTTGAGTTGAGATTGTTTTGTCTCAGCTTTTAGCTGATGCGACATACACAATCAGACATACCAAACGTTGTATTCTACAATGCATCAAAATCGACAATACATGTATAATATTATACATACATTCTCAACAATAAATCTATTTAACAATCGCAACTTCCAAACGACCCCTCAGTGACCAAATGTGGCATTTGCCCAATTGAAACCACTTTACTTCTAAGCTTTATTATCTTATTCCACATCTAAGATCCCTACATATTTATTTTCTATACTCAGATTCCTCAATCTATACTCTTTTAACCAAACTATCCATATCATTTGTTGATTTACTAACACATCCCATAAATGCCTTATGGAGCATGCTTTGTTCCAAACTTCCAGCTACACGGTGAGATCGGGCTAGGGATTCAAGTTTTTTATTTGGGGATTTTTCCTTTCACAGACAAACCAATAGAAAAGAGGCGAGAAGAAAAAGAAGAAAAGAGAAGAGGAGTTGGTCGAATTTCTTCTGACCAACAAATGGGCTTGACTTGGTCTTTTGGCCCAAGGAAAAAGAAAACTTAAGGGAAAATAAACAATTGAGTAAACGAAAATGTTTGGGTTCAAGTGGTTTGAAAGCACAGAAAGAGCTTCTGTTTTGAAGAGACGAAATCGTCTTCTTCCTTCAAAGCTCTTCAAACTAGCACCTGAGCACACATCTAATCTAGAAAATAGAGTAAAACAGAGCAGCAAGAAGAAAGGAGAGAACACAACGATTTTAACGAGGTTCTCCAATCTATGGGTCAGTCCTCGTCCCGGAGATAGCACTTGCTATTTTCTGAGAGACTATTTTTTATTGAATTTTTTCTATCAAGCAAAACAAAAGAACACAAACAGAAAATTACAGAGAATAGAAACACCCTTTCATCCATATCACAATCCGATCTGCTTTCCCGCTGACAAACTAAGAACCTCTTCCCCTCAGTTTATCAAGACCCTTGTAATTTGAGAATAAACGAACGCCACTAATCTCAGGCTTACAATCTGCAAACTTTCAAGGAAGAAAGCTATCACTATATAAAGGTCACCAACGATGCTGGAACAGACAACTCCTTTTTGTACTAGCCGTTGCTATGCAATCCACTGATGGAGGCTAGCCGTTGGAATTTCTTCAGACATTTGAGCACTTACCAAAACAGGTGAGTTACCTTAATCATAATCCCTTGATTTCATCCAACACACGGATCCTTGAATTCCAAACCCCCCCCCCCCCCCCCCCCCCCCTTCTTATGTAATGCCACTAGGGCTGTTAATGAGCAGAACTATTCGTGAGCTCTCGATTTTGAACTCGATAAAAGCTCGTTCAATTAAAAAAAAGTTCGGCTCGTTAATAAACGAGTTGAGCTTGAGCTCTACCTTGTTCGGCTCGTGAAGCTTGTGAACTAGCTCAATTAGGTGGCTCGTTGAATACAACTCATGAACTGTCTCATTTTGAGCTTATGAGATGTCCCAACATTGTGACTAGGAGCCAACTCGACTACAGCTTATGAGAAAATCAATCTATATATTATGAGTTGGTTTGTTAATGATGCATATAATTATTAAATTGTATATATCACCCTAGAAGACCAGGGCATATTTTTCACCCCTTCAATCACATTCTCAGGCAATAGAAAAACAATTATCATCAAGAATTGAGCTATGCTTGCTAAAAACTATTTATGAGTTGAATTTTCCCAACATAGGTTAGCTGGTTAGGCTGCCAGCCTTGATGGAGTCAAATCCATGAAGTAAACAATCCTAGTTTGGTACTAGCAAGGCAAGCCCTAATACATTTTCTGAATATTAAGGGAATTCCTTAGCCTTCACTACAGCGAAGAGGAATTTCCAATCCACACTATCAAAGGTCTTAACAATGTAAATTTCATAGCATAACGAGACAATAAATGCCTACGATTATACAATTTAACCATCTCATGGGCTTGGAGGATGTCTTCACTAATCAATCACCCTTTTGTAAAAGCATATTGATCATGACTAATGACTATATATAAAACCTCTTTGAACCTATCTGCTAGAACCTTTGAATGCACCTAAGAAATCGATCGATAATTCCTCATAATTTTATTATTTGGAAGTTTTGTAACGAGGAACAATGAAGTAGGGCTTACCTAACTGACAACCGTTTATGAAAACAATGATTAGTGAATATTGGTATTGTCACTGCGCAGCAAGCAAAGGATTGGGGTACGTATGTGGCCTATTCTCATGAATTCTTACACTCCACTACATCACCACCAAGCCTCCAACTACTCTAGAAAGAAGTAGGGCAGCTAATGAATCGAGTCGAGTCGAGTTTTATCCCAGTTTGAGCTCGGCTCATTAATAAACAAGTTGAGCTCGAGTTCGACTCGTTTATTAACGAGCCGAGTCAAATTCGAGCTGGCTTGTTTAATAAAATCTTGACTCGTATTTGATATATTCATTTTGTATGTCATACATGATAGATTTGACTAATGTCAAGATTAAAATAATAATAATAATAATAATAAAAAGTAAAGTGTTCAATATTAACTAATATCATTTTATGCTTTTTGGTATCGAACTACTTAAATAAGACAATAAAGACATATTTGCTCACATAATCTACGTGCTAAACTTCATATAGGGTGAGATATATAATTTAACAATCCTATGAATTATCAAAATCAAACCCATATAGTCATATAGATAGATTCGCTCATAACTCGCTAATCGAGTTGGCTCTCTAGCCATAATGTTGAGAGTTGAGACATCTCATGAGCTCTAAACAAGCAAGCTCACGAGTTGAGCTCAACAAGCCATCGAGTCGAGCTAGCTCAGGAGCTCCGCGAGCTACAGAAGGCTAAGCTCAAGTTCGGCTCATTAGTAAACGAGTCTAGTTTCGAACGAGTTTTTCTCGAGTCGAACGCTCCGCTCATTTGCAGTACAACAGTAGGAAGAACCCAACATAATTTGTTACTATTTTCCCTATGAAAAAATGTTGAAAAAAATCGCACCAAAGTCATTATGTCCTAGTGAAGCATCATTTGTTTTCGGTTTTGAGTAACTTGATATGACTAATTTCTGAGTAAACAACGAAGGTACTTAAATCCATATGGTTCTCATGCTTCTTCTCCTCATGCAAAGAAAGAAGGAACCAAATCAAGCTTCTTCTCCTCATCTAAAGTTAAGACACTACAACTCTACCTAAGCCAAAAGAAATGCATACATCAATCAAACAGCGACAAGTAGATTTGTTTGTGAACACTGCCAAACAAACTTCCTATCTTCAAAATGGCAAAAGGAGGAGAGAGTGAGAGAGAGAGAGATCAAATAGGTCCAAAGGATGAATAGATGAAGCTCGGGAGAGCCAGGACCAAGAACTCGAAGCTTGAAGCCACACCACATTTCATGCAATACAATTATCCTTTCAGAAATTTATCCCCAAACAAAAAGAGAAAAATCAAACTCAAACATAATTCAGTGGCTATGGTGGTGCCCCATAACGTACCCATTGGGCCAAATGTCTTCCTTGTCTACCCATTGCCACATAAAATTATTACACTTCCGTTTACTCACTTGACCATTGTAGGCGCCAAACGAAGGCTGACACAGTGACACTCATCGCCATTCCTCCTCTGCCAGCCAAAATCACACTTGGCTTCAACCCAGCTCCAGCTCGCGCCACGCAGCAAACTCCGACTTGTGCATAAAAAGTCTCGACCTTTACTGTTCTAGGTGCAGTACCCAGTTCTCAATTTCCTCCTGATTCGTTTCCTTCTGTTTATTGAAGGGTCGTTGCCAATTGGGTCAGTTGAAGCTTTGCTCTTCTCGATTGGGTCTAGTCTCTGCTAAAATTTCAATTCATTCAGTGGGTCTTGCGCTTTTGATCGAAGAATTAACTGGGTTTTTTTAGTTTCGTGAGAATTGGGGACTTTTTTGGAGTCGCTTGTCGCGTTTCATTTTGAATGGGGATCGTTCTTTTGATGACTGCTTTCACAGAGAAGGAGCTAATAAGTTTTCTTTTTGTTGTTGTTTTCCTCTGTAATCAATAGAGGGAGAGCTTAACAGCCATGGCGCCCAAGGGTTTGGATTACGAACTCCTGAACGAAAACGTGAAGAAGGTTCAGTATGCTGTGAGGGGCGAGCTGTACCTTCGAGCTTCTGAGCTTCAGAAGGAAGGAAAAAAGGTTCGAATCTTGTACTTTTTTACTAAATTTCCCTTTTACGGTACTTTGCTTCTTTTGGATTTATGATGCTAGCTAGCTGCTGCAGCCCTTTTGATTCTAGATACTTGTATAAAAGTTTTGTCCTACATTGAAAGCAGAAAACATTTTGTCCCATGACTGGCCGCCAAAATCTCTGGTTTTCTCATCTTAGATAAGCATGGTGATGATGTCGCTGTAGTAGTAGTTATTTCGTGGAGTGTTAGTGTGCCCTTTATCTGCTAAAAGGTCATTGCGATTTGCAAGTCATCAGATGAGAGCTACTTAAAACCAGCTTCAAAGTTCAGTACTGTTCTTGTTGTTGCTTAATGAATTGGGTTCTTGATTACTGAACAGTTGGATATATTGTTTTGATGTAGATCATTTTCACAAATGTTGGAAACCCTCATGCTCTTGGACAGAAGCCACTGACCTTCCCTCGACAGGTTATCATAAGCAGACTTTTAAGCTCATCAAGTTTTTTATTTTTTATTTTGATGAATAAGCAGTTTTTATTCATCAAGATAGAGTGACAGAAGCTCATCAAGTTTCTAATTACCTTAGCTTATGTTAGGATCTAGTTTGATTGAATGGAAAGGAGATGTTGAATTTAACAGGTGGTTGCACTTTGCCAAGCCCCATTTTTACTGGATGATCCTAATGTGGGACTCATGTTCCCTGCTGATGCCATCGCAAGGGCTAAACATTACCTCTCCTTGACTTCTGGTGGTTTAGGTAACATCTTCCCACCTTCGTTTCTCCATACACTGCTGGTTCTGTGTTCTTGTTTGAACACTGAATGATAATTGATTCCTCATCGTTTCTCAGGTGCATACAGTGACTCCAGAGGCATTCCAGGAGTTAGGAAGGAGGTCGCAGACTTCCTTCTAAGGCGCGACGGTTATCCAAGGTGACCAATTTTGCTACCTATCTATTTGGGTTTTATCCCTTTGCTAGGAGTAGGACTAAATTTGGTATTCTTGGGCCTGGTGGACAGTGATCCAGAATTGATATTTCTCACTGATGGAGCAAGCAAAGGTGTGATGCAAATCTTGAGCACGATCATTAGAGGTCCAAGTGATGGGGTGAGCCACATCGTTTTTTCTTTTTGTATTTGTACTCTTCATGACAACATTCCTTTGCTCTTTCTCGCAATCATTGTATTCGTTTCTCGGCAGATCCTGGTTCCAGTGCCACAATACCCACTTTACTCAGCTGCAATCAGTCTCTTTGGTGGTACCCTTGTCCCATATTACTTGGAAGAGACGGCAAACTGGGGTCTTGATGTGAATGACCTGAGAAACGCAGTTTCTCAAGCTAAATCCAAAGGGATAACTGTTAGTACATTCTTTGTTTGCTAGCCCATGGTGATTTCCTACTGCATATTTGCCATGAATTACTGAACTGAACTTTGCAATACAATGGAATGCGAATCAGGTGAAAGCAATGGTGATAATCAACCCTGGAAATCCAACTGGCCAGTGTCTTAGCGAAGCTAACTTGAGCGAAATACTGCGCTTCTGTTATCAAGAGGGCCTTGTCCTCCTTGGAGATGAGGTTTACCAGCAGAACATCTACCAGGACGAACGCCCATTCATCAGCTCTAAGAAGGTATATTTATGCCTTTTCCCCTGTTGGTTAAGCATAATTATTTAGTCCGCTTAGTGACTTAACTCGACCTTTATGAAGGTCTTGATGGACATGGGTCCGCCTTATAGCAAGGAGGTTCAGCTTGTTTCCTTCCACACTGTGTCTAAAGGATACTGGGGCGAATGTGGGCAGAGAGGTGGATACTTTGAGATGACCAACATTCCTCCAAAGGTCTAGAATTTCTTCTCTTGGGACTCTATACCAGAAATGGGTATCCTTCCATTGTAAAGTTACCCGATTGAAAAGCTAGAATTTCAAACTTCTGTCTATGAACAATGTGGCATTGCAGACAGTTGATGAGATCTACAAGGTGGCATCAATTTCCCTCAGTCCAAATGTCCCTGCTCAGATATTCGTAAGTGTACATAAACTCGTTGATCACGCGTATTTCAACGACTAATATCAACGCTCCACTGTTTCTAATTTAACTAAATCTTTATGTGTATATGCAGATGGGGCTGATGGTCAACCCACTGAAACCTGGGGACATCTCTTATGAGCAGTTCATTAGGGAGAGGTAATGGCTGCTATAATTTTGACAATCTTCGTGTGGAGCGTTTTGAATAATCGGATTTCGTAATGGGGACTGGTATGCATGCAGCAAGGGGGTCCTGGAATCACTAAGGAGAAGGGCTAGGATTATGACCGACGGCTTCAATAGCTGCCGCAATGTAGTTTGCAACTTCACTGAAGGTTAGCTAGCTAGCCTCTCTTAGTTAGCTCCCTGCCACTACTGTATACATACATTGAGCTTACAGTTACTTAACCTGATCTTGCTGTTTTAAAACGCAAGGCGCCATGTATTCGTTCCCTCAAATACGGTTACCACCCAAGGCAATCGAGGCTGCCAAGAGTGCTGGCAAAGTTGCTGATGTCTTCTACTGCCTCAAGCTACTGGAAGCTACAGGCATCTCCACAGTCCCCGGCTCAGGATTCGGCCAGAAAGAAGGGTATAAAAACCAGAATCAAACGATGCTATCTTAACCCGACATATCTGGGTTTTGTTGTCCCATCCGTTTAACATAAATGGGTTTCACTTGTGCTGGTTTTTTGCAGGGTTTTCCATCTGAGGACAACCATCTTACCTGCGGAGGAAGACATGCCAGCAATCATGGAAAGCTTCAAGAAGTTCAACGACGAGTTCATGGAGCAGTATGAAGATCACAAGGGTTACTCCAGGATGTAAAGTTCCCCCCACCCACAGTATTGCTATCATTATTATTTCAGTACAGCGAACTGAAAACTGTTATCAAGATGATGATTATATTCTTCTCTGGCTTTTTTATCCTGCCAAAAAAAAGCCAGTTTTCAGATATGCTCTCACTCTCTCTATCTCTCTCTCTCCCCCCAACATATTCCTGACTCAAAATTTGCATATATATAGCTGTAACTTTTCACAAAATTTCACATTTCATTGCATGCCTGCTCTTGATTTTCTTGTTACTTTCTCCTTTTGCTAACTGGAAAGGGAAGTTGGATGCTTATGATGATATGATTGGAGGAGGTTAGACAGTTTGAGGTAGAGAGTCAGGAACATGCTTTGATCTCATATCACAAAATGGAAACTTTTTTCCTACTCTAAACAACTCTCCACTTGGGCTTTTTCTTATTTCAGATTTGGGAAGCCCCTTTTTCCCCCTTGTTTTTTTGCTTGCAGTTCACATGGCCTGTCACAGAATGGGCTGAAGTGAAGCAGCAAAATGGAGGGGTGTTTTTTGTTTTGTAGCCTGTTATTTTGCAAAACAAAGTGCACTGGGGAAAAAAGGGTTACTTTTCCCCAAGTTTAGCAGAAAGTAAAAGGTTGCAACTTGCAAGTAAGGAGAAGGAAGTTCCAAATCCAATTTCTTAATTTGCAACCAGTGCATTTTGAAACCACCATTTCCAATTTTAAGAACAAATTGGCTGTTCTTGTTTTTCAATGAACAAACAAATCTCTTATTTATATTTTTTTTTTTTAGCTTTGACAATAAAGGGGAAAGAAAAGGCGTACAAAGTGGAAGAATAAGCATCAAATCTGATCTTTTTATGGGACAGAATCGAATAATTATATTAGTAAGTGGGCTTTGTTTCAACCCTTAATCTTTCTCCATTGGCGCGAAACAATCTTGATTATGGGCTGTTTGCTAACTGCTGCTGCCTTAGTGCCTTCATTGTATTTCTGTTTTTAACACCTTCTTCTTCTTCTAACTAGGGCTTTTTTTCTTTTCTTATTTTTCTTATAGGAATGTGAAATCAATTATTTATATTGCGTTATAAAAAAAAATATATCGCAGTAATATACTAGCAAGTAGCAAACACACTAATATTTCCATTGGTCCTAGACGCGGTGGGAGAAAAATGAAACACTAATATTTTCATAATTTTAGGTTTATTAATCCACTTTAACGAGTAACAGACTAATAGTGCAAAACACGTGTTTACACCTTTGGGTACCCGAAGTGTAAATGCACCAAGTAACAGAATTGCAGTTAAGTTAGGTAAGTAATAGCTAGCAGGAAATAATTTTTTTATGAAAATATAGCAGGAAATCACACTTAAATATTAGAAGAGAGAAAGAGAAGGTAATTTTTTTTTTGAATTCCTTAAAAGGGAAATACCCATCATTTTCATATATGTAACATTTCATTGTATATATGATTTTTTTTTTGCATAAATTATCTATGGAATTAGGAAAGATTAATTCTTCATTAAATTATGTTTGGCAGGTCGGTTGCAGAGTGAGTGATGAAGTTGTCGGCGGGCGGTGGAGGGGTGGCCGGCCGTTGAGATGTCAGGGGATCGGCGGCGATGCCAGCTTTTGTTTTGTTTTTCTTTTGTTGACAGTGAAATAATGTTTTTGAGGCTTTGATTTTCAGTCTTTGGTTAATTAAGTTGAAGTCGGTTTTACCGCTGATCATGTATCGTTTGGCTGACAAATAATAATGTGGATATGGTAGGGTAATGAAATCTTTCTATCACTCTGAATTTTCAGGTCAATAAATGGGTAACCTTAACTGAACAAGTTTTCACAAAATGTGCACTTAGGTAGTTTAGAGTTTGTGTTCGGAGTCTCGAGAAGGATACCAAGGAACTTTCAAGCAATTAGGCCTATCGACTTCATGCTACGAAGTGGAATCAATCTGTGGGCAAATTCTGAAACACATTAACGTCACAACAGCAATGGCGAAGTCAGAATTATGAATGAATTATGAGTATGAGCTAAAAAATAAAGTTTTAGGATTTGCTTATTAGGTTCTTCCTTTGTTTTAATTGGTCTCCCACTCTCGTTGCATAATATTAAATATGTAATGGATCATGAGATTGGATAAACATTGAGAACCAAATAATGACAGCATATGCTCCATTTAGTTAATCAATTAATTAACTGACATTCATCAATCAAATCAGTTGAGAGCAATCTTCGCTTAAGAAAAAATATTAGAAGATAATAATAGAAAGGAAGTAGGAAGCAGCACCATTTTGGTGATCCCCAAAGATAAGATATTATTATAAACACGTGGCAGCAGAAATAGTAAGAGAATTTTGGCGGCAAAAATCAAAGTCAATTCTTGCTGCTGACCGCCGGTCAGCTATATTCACGGGCGGCACTCTTCCTCGTTCGGGTTCCTTCCCCTTTGAATCTTCGGTTTCCCATTAACCAATCAAATCCCTCTTGCGCTCCAATCCTTTGCTGTTCCTTCCTTTTAACCTTTTCTCTGGCTTTTACTACTGTCTATATACCACTTACCATGTTTAAATTTTTCACTTTGGATAGTTTGAATGAATGATTAGAAAAATGAAGGTTTATATTGTTTTTGTTTAGTTTTTTTTTTTTGTAAGGGTGAAAAATTCATTAATTAAAGATGTTAAAAGAAGTTGAGTATAGACAACAGAGAGAAAAAAAAAAAATACACACAAGACAAAAGATGTAGCAACCAATACACTGATGCAAACAAAGTGTTATGGGACAATCCAAGTACCACATCAGTAATACAAGGGAAGGGACCGTTGTATATTGGTGTCCACCAAGCTCATTAGTACGAGGCCTTGTGGGGAGGACACCCAAAAGTAAATCCGTGCGGGCTTGGCCCAAAGCGAACAATATCATACTAATGGGCTGTCCAGTTATGACAAATTGTATCAGAGCCTGGTTGGCGAATTTGGGGCGGTGGACGCCAGTTCGGTGGACCCTCGTTCGGTGACCTCAAGATTTGAGATCTACGTCTGGTTTGGTGGATCCACGAGAAATCCACGTTTGGGCCACATTTCGCGTCTGGAAAAATCCTTGTAGCGAGAAGTCATCAATACAAGGTGTCTAGCGAATCAAGATAATTGCTGAGGTGAAGACACGAAGTTCGTGGTCCTTGTCTTGACTGGAGGATTGTTATGGGACAATCCAAGTACCACATCAGTAATACAAGGGAAGAGACCCTTGTATATTGGTGTCCACCAAGCTCATTAGTACGAGGCTTTTCAGGGAGGATACCCAAGAGTAAATCCGTGTGGGCTTGGCTCAAAGCAGACAATATCGTACTAATGGGCTACCCAGTTATGACTAGGGCTGCAAACGAGCCGAGTCGAGTCGAGTTTTTGCTTAGCTTGAGCTCGGCTCGTTTATTAATTTTTCAGCTCGAGCTCGGCTCGAACTCGAATTTTGATAATCCAGCTCGAGCTCGAGCTCGGCTTGAATAAAAATAATCTAGCTCGAGCTCGACTCGGTAGAGCTCGATAAATGCTCATTAACATAGCTTGTTAAGCTGAGTACAAGCTCGGCTCAAGATGAGCTCGATTTAAAATCATTTTTGCTGGAAAAATGTATAAACATAAGAATTTAAATGATAGAAAGAACACTAGAAACTAGAAATAACATCTAAATTTCATACACATCTGTATTATAAGACAATGTTCATGTTTAAAAGAGTAATTCATCCTTCCACAAGCTCAAAACAAGGCAGCTCGCGAGCTTAGCTCGACAAGCCACCGAATCAAGCTAGCTCGCGAGCTTATCAAGCTGAGCATGGTCTAGCTCAGGCTTGGCTCGTTAACTAACGAGTTGGCTCGCGAGCCGGCTTGTTAAATAACGAGTCGAGTGTCGAACGAGTTTTTTCCGATTCGAACGCCGAGTTGCTCGCGAGCGGCTTGGCTCATTTGCAGCCCTAGTTATGACAAATGGTATCAGAGTCTTGTTGTCAAAATCGGGGGTGCTCAATTAGTACGATATTGTCCACTTTGGGCCAAACCCGCACGGTTTAACTCTTGGGTGTCCTCCCCAAAAGGCCTCGTACTAATTGGGCTAGGTGGACACTAGTATACAAGGGTTTTTCCCTTGTATTTCTGATGTGGTACTTGGATTGTCCCATAACAATCCTCCCCTCAAGACAAGGACTGTGAACTTCATGTCCTCTCCTCAGCGATTATCTTGATCTGCCAGACGCCTTGTATCGATGGGCTTCTCGGTACAAGGACTTTACCAGACGCAGAACTCTCTTTGATCTCTCCTGGATCCACCAAACAGACGCGAATCTCAATCTCGAGGTCATTGAACTGAGGGTCCCACCAAACTGACGTCCACCGCCCTGAACCAACCTAGGCTCTTATACCACTTGTTGAAATCGAGGGTGCTCAATTAGTACGATATTGTTCGCTTTTGGCCAAGCGCGTACGGTTTTACTCCTGGTTGTCCTCCCCAAAAGGCCTCGTACTAATTGAGCTAGGTGGACACTAATATACAAGGGTTCATTCCCTTGTATTTCCGATGTGGTACTTGGATTGTCCCATAACACAAAGACAGACAAACAAACAGGAGAAGCAGGAGGAGAAAGATCACAAACAAGACTCTATCAACCCAAGCACAGAACAAACACCATTCTAAAGAGCTGTCACCAACTGTGGCTGTTGACTAGTAATGAGTTCCACCTTAAGCAACTCAAGCCAAACTTCGCCAACCTATCTTACAATCTTTCCCGCCACCATAAGCCAAGAAGCAAGCATCCTTCCAACCGAGAAAGCAACCACCTGGACTGGGGTACATTTATCATCGAAGATCCTGCCATTCCTTTCACTCCATATACACCATAGCAAAGCATGAAGAAGAGACATGGCACCATGCCTTGGGCCCCTGCGGCTTGTGAGAAGGCCACCTTCTGATTACTGCAGAAATATCTCCTTGAAGCATATTACTTTGGATGTGGACAAATCGTCTTAAGATTCGCAAGACATGGGTTGTGAATCTGCAGTTTAAGAACAAATGGCTCGCATCTTCTTCGTTAACCAAGCATAGAGGACATCTATTGGGCATGCTCTAGCCTCTGCGCTTTAGCATGTCTTGGTTAAGTATCTTTCCTCTGGTAGACCAACCATACAAGGACACAAATTTGACGGAATATGTGATTGCCAAATGACTTCGGTTTAGTTCTACTTACTTAATAGAATATTGTTGACGTATTTATGGTGAAGTAAGAGATGTTGAATGTCGATGTTCTTATAGTCTTGAACCGCAATGATTTTCTGCAAATTTCGGAATTTTATTTAAAAAAATTACATGGGATATGATAAAATGTTTATTATTATTTTTTAAAGGAAAGATAAGTGTTCAAGACCAAAAGAAAAGTGTATCATCCTAATTCTTTACTTTGAGACTACCTCTGTTTTTTGGGTCCATTATGATGACTTTCTGGGAGGTCACACACTCTACATTGCTCCACAATAAGTACGTTTAATTTCAAAGTTCTCATTATAATTCTCTCATTTCACTCCAAAATGCGTATTGTCGTTAAGTTTGCATGTTCATTATGAATCATTGATCACTCACATACTTTATCGATATGAGAGTTTGCCTAAAATATCACATACACTCTCATTTAAAATTCTTACGATTAAAACTCAAATGTTCCCTGTTAATTATACATCTCTCCCATACTAATATACTATATTTTTGATTAGAGTGTTACCACTAACCTCTCAAAGCATGTAAATGCTAGAATCCTACTAGAAAACATATACCTCGAATATCTATCTATCTATACATAATATTATAGCAATTCAAAAGTAGTTTGTTGCCACATAAGCATTTGGAGAATTTACAAGGTGCCATGGTGGACACTTTTTTTACAAACAAAAAAGTTAGTTAATGATCAATTAATGTAGCTATATCTATCTTTTTTTAATATTTTCTTTTTATTTTAATGATCTTTTTGTAACTATCTCTTTCTTCTTTTAATATTTTTTTATTCAATAATTGTATTTTTTGATATATGTGTGTAGCAGTAGTATACTTATGTTTCGAGAGTGACATATATTATAATGCTTCAAAAAATATATTTGATTAAATATGATCAATTAATTTTAATTTTTATTTTTATTAGAACTTAATATAGGTTATATTTCGATACAAAAATAAATTAAACACATAGATAAGTAATAACATTTTTTATAAACAAAATATAATGAAGAAAGTTTAGATAATCAACATTTAATAATCAATTGAATTTGAAAAACCAACTATATAATTTTATGTTTTGTTTATGAAACACTATCTCTTTCTAATGTTTGTATCTATCAGCAAAAACAATTATTAAATAGCAAAAAATTACATGCAACAAATTAATGTAGCTAAATCTATGCAACAAATTACATGCACAATCTTAGGGGTTAAGCTCTATGATTTAGATAACTAAGACCTAGGATTCACTCATTAAGGGTTAGGGTATAGTATCATGCCCACAAATCCGGTTAATTCGTGGTCCATATAGCATTTTCTTACTTAGAGTATAGTATCATGCTTAGATATTGACAATAGATGTGGCATTACACCAACAAAATGAAGATATTAGTATAAGTAATGGAATTTTTATCTCAAAACAAACACCAAAGATAAATAAATTTGAGCAAATGCATATTTGATAAGTTAGAAAATTATTCAACAATGGACCATGTTAAGATTAGAACCCTCGATAGTGTGTGCGTATCTTTGACCGAGATTCTAAACAAACATCTAAACAATGACCATGAGTTGAGGGTGAGTCTATATTAAACTTCAGGAATTAACAATTGGTACATATTGTATAAGATATTAAGTTGAGTGTCTTGATAGAAAAATATGATCTTACACTAGAACAATAAATTTTCAATTGGGATGACCAAATTTATGTAATATTGAAGTAACTTCATAAAAAAATTCTAACTAAGTTGTCGTCATCTGAGCAACATCATTGGTTGAGAGTTCGTCCAAACTCGAGATTCATTGAATGACATATATTGTATAAGACAAAAAAAATGAGTATTGTTATTGACAAATCTTGACATAAGATTCTATATGGGACGTGATATATCTTTGTGACATGATTTATGATCAGTGAATCGAAGCATCATAAGTGAATGTGCTAAGTATTGAGAATTTTTAATTTATAGACGCACCGCATACTCACCAATGAATGCAAATGTAAAAAATTTAGAAGATACAAAATAGTTTAAACATATAGATAAATTGATTAATGTAAATGTTAAATTAAACTCACTGGCCAACGGGCCGGGTAAAAAGCTAGTAGCTATAATTCTAGACCTTCCGTCTTGATTATCTATTCATCACCAAAGTCAATTATTAGCCTAGCTAGATAAACCTATACGCTAAGAATTATAATTGATAATCCCTGGGGGGATAATGACAAGTGTCGAACCATGATTTGTCCATCCTCCTCGGGTTCTCTTTCTCTCTCGCTACCCCCTCCCTCCTCTCAATAGTATAGACAAGATCACAAGAACATTGAACTTACTCCTACTCCGATTCCCTCCTTTCAATTTCTCTTCCTCCACCCCACCATTCCAAAAAAAGTTCCCATCTTTATAACCCCAAGCAAGCTTCTCCATGACTCAACTCTCTCTACTGTCTCTACTCTCTACCCTTTTTCCTTGACTTCTTCTTCTTCTTCTTCCTTTTCAACCAAATTTCAGGCTCAAACCCAAAGAAAGGAAGAATTCCCCTCACTTCCCCACGCACCCATATAAAGTTTGGAAAAAAGCTTCAAGCTTCCATCTTTATTCTTCTCCTTCTTAGGAAAAAAAGCCGCTTTATTCCTTGGTTATTGTTCCCTTTCTCCCTTATAATTAAACTCTCCCAAAACCTCCCCCAGGAGTAACTAAATGGGTTTCTCAGCAGAGAACGGCAAATGGGTTGTTTCCGGCATCTCGCTCCGGGCTCCCTTGAAGCCAATTTTCACGGAGAGAGATGCCGGCGACGGCGGTGTGGATGACGAGAAGTACGGATCTCCGACGACTCCAAAGAGCGAGGAGGCGAGGATACCGGCGAGGCTGCCCTGCCCGCCGCCTCCGAGGAAGCGGAGGGCCACCAGCTTGAAGCGGAACTGCAACGGCGGCGGAGCGAGGGAGTTCTTCGTCCCTCCCGACTTGGAAACCGTCTTCGTATGCCGCCACGTTCAAAGGGCTGGCTAGCTACTACTATAAAACTTAGTAATTAATTGTAGTAACCTAATTCGACTTACTTGAGTAATTACTTCCTAGCCGCGTTTGGAATTTGAGTTAGTGATTTTCTTTCTTCTTTTTTACATTTTAGTTTTCCACAATTATTTACTGATTCTAGTAAATCATCTTGAAGTGTAATTAATTCGAAATTGTAGTTTGTATGTATTACTATGATAGTAAATAATCTCTGTATCATTTTCTTGGTGCGTGGTTGAAGCGTATTAAAATCTTGTATCCTTTTGTTGGCACTTTAAAATCTTGTAAACCAATTTATTGGGTCACAATTTCTTGTTTAATTGTTCACTTTGCTGAGAACCATTCCAAATGATTGAAGTGCTTCGATGAGTTAATTAAGGTTGCGGATTAGAACTTGTCAGGTTTCGTTATTACGAGTATTAAAATAGCTTTCCCTATGCTTTCAGTCTCAAGATCGCCATCTTAAAAGGAAACAAAGGTTAAATTTTTTGTTGAGGAAATTATGATAATGTGTTTGGATGTAAGAAGAAGAATGGTACTTGGTAGTTCTGGTGTTGACCATTTAAGGGCAAGCTAGCTAGGAGTGGGGCATAAGTTTGAGTTTTGGCTTTTCTTCTTCTTTATCTTGTTTAACCTGAATGGCTAATGTCTATAGCTAGTACAAAGTTTGTACTTTCTTTTTGCATTCTACAGAAAACTGTTTATCTTTCATGCGTAAGAAAATGACAGTTAGTAGGCAGTCAAAAAAACCTAAGTAGGATTGAAAGATTCCATGCCCATCCACACCACATAAGAAAAGGTTAGTCCGTGCAACTAAATCAAGGGTAAAAATTAGGTATATATGACATTACCTTAATTTGCTTTGTTGTTCATCTATTCGTCTATAAATAGCAAGGTTTAAAAAGATACTTGGCTGGCGTTTGGACTCTGCCTAGCACCTAGCAGGCTAGCACGCCTAAGCGATCATTTAGGTGGATCATGTTGCCATTCCTAACAAGCTACATCTACTAGGTTCAGAGTTAGAGTGCATTACCTTTTTTCTATAGTCTAATTATGTTTGAGACATTACTCACTTTGGACTCTTCCTAGCACATAGCACCACCTATTTCACAAAATGTACCTTGTTAGGTGAGGGCAATTTAAGCAAATTAAAGAGTTTAGGGCAATTTAAGCAGATAGTTTTAAAGAGGTAAAGAACTCACTTTTAGGAATGTCTGAGTAGGGTTGGTATCTCAATATTGATGTTCGTTCTCTGATAAATACAAGTCGGATCTAGATCGGCTATTACTCATGCGGAGGATAGTCGGGCAAGCCGATCCATTTCTTTATCTATATAGACAAACAAAAAACAAAAAGATGACTACATGACAAACAAAGCCAAATTATCTAGGAAGTGAAATTTTGCATTAGCCTAAATTAGTTTATGAATAAGTCAAAATAATATATATATATATATATATATATATATATATATATATATGGTGGCTACTTCGGTGCACTCACTTTTTTGGGTGCACTCAGTGCACCCAACTCTAAAAGCGTCCATAATACATCGATTTTGAACTTTAATTAGTACTCTCAATATAATATGATGATATGACATAGAATCATAACAAATCAATCCATTACCCTATCCCCTTAACCTTCAATTTTGAATCCCAACCCAAAATCCCAAATTGTAAACCTAAACCCTAACCCTAAATCCCTAATCCTAAATCCTTTGAATTAAAGTGAATTTGGAATGAATTTTTTTCAAATTTATGTGCTTCTTGTTCATAATATCATAAGCTACAATTGATACCGTTTTGATATGAATCGCATGCTCAGAATGATAATTATGAGGCGGGTGCACTGAGTGCACCCGAAAAAGTGGGTGCACCGAATACGCCACCATATATATATATATATATATATGGGGAGTTCTACGGTACCCAGGGTGAAATCCGGGGTATCGCATACCTTGAGTAAGAAAACGCTATCCAGAACTTGAATTGACTGATCTTTCGGACATGAAACTATACTCTAACCCTTAAAGATCAAAATCTAGGTCTTAATTCTCTAAATCTTACATTCCAAGATCAATTTAATTAGAAACAATAATCGACGGTTATGATTCGTCCAAATATAGGCAAAAAAACTAATGCACCATCTTAGGGTTTATAGTTTATGATTTAGATAATTAGCACATAGGGCTCACTCAATAAGGGTTAGGGTATAGTATCATGCCCAAAAATCCTGCTAATTCGAGGTCTAGATAGCGTTTTCATACTCAATGTATGCGGTACCCCGGATTTCACCCGTGGTACCATAGAAGGCACTATATATATATATATATGAGAGGAAGATAAGTTGAAGCAAAATCTAATTTTTGTTTTGATTTTTCATACGTCGGGTTTGAATGGAATATTGAATAAAATAGGACACAAGTGGTATTTTTCAGATAGTTCAGGTGTTGTAGTGGTATTAGCCATTTAATATAATGTTGTTTTAGTTCGTTGAACATATACATTATATATACATGTAATAAGTGACAATATAATTTTACCATTTCATTAATGCACTAGTAGACAACTTCTTTCTTCCAAGATCAACACGGTATCAGAGGAGTCAGTTTCTTGATCTCTCTCTCTTACTTTCCCTTTCCCTTTGGTTGTAGGTTTCTTCAAAACTTTTGCTTCATCGTTTTGATATGCTCTCATGGCGAATTCATAGGCATAATCAACGCAGGCGACTCAGGCGAATTTCTCCTTCGTCCCTCCCGCCGGATTGCTCGATCCAAGCCATCTATACTTCCTCAATCCCGGTGATAATCTGTCATCGGCTCTGGTCACCGTTGTCTTCAATGGTAACAACTATTACGTATGGTCAAGGTCTATGCGTCTTGCACTACTGGCGAAGAATAAACTGTCGTTGATCGATCCTGCGATTACTCAGCCGTTGCCTGGCGATCCTCTTCACAGAGCTTGGGAGAGATGCAACGTCATGGTGCTTGGGTGGATTTATCAATTGTTGACTCCAGATATTGCTCACAACGTTTTCTAGTTTGATTAAACATTCAAAGTATGGAAAAACCTTCAAGATAGATTAGGCTAGTTTAGTTCGGATCTCCGATCTTCAGGACGAGGTCTTCTCCTTCAAGCAAGGCACTGCTACTGTGAGTGAATTCTTCACTCGGTTTCGCGTTCTCTGGGATGAGCTGGTCACTATTCGTCTGTTTCCTACTTGCTCATGCACTCCGCGGTGTTCTTGTGGAGCGTTGATTGTCGTTCGAGCATATCAACAATTCGATCATATCATTCGCTTTCTCAACGACAACTTCTCTCAAATCCGAAGCCAGATTATGCTCATGGAGCTGCTTCCACCGATTACTCGAGTGTTTTCTCTGGTGATTCAGTAGGAGTGTCGGATCAATTCATCTGGTGCTAATTCTTCTTCAAATCCGTTTGTCTTGGCTGGTCGTTCCTCTGGACTGGGTCAAGAACAAGGTCGTGGCGCTGGAGCTTGTGAGCGGCTAGTTCGCACACACTGTGGTGGTGTGGGTCCTATTGTGGATAAGGGCTTCAAGAAGCATGGTTATCCTCAGGGGTACAAGGGTAAAGGAAAGGTAAATGCGGCGGTTGCTAAAGCTTAAGGTTCTGGGGATTCTGAACCTACTGGAGGATCTCTTAGTGGGGAGTCTGGATCAGTGGTCCTGACTTCGGAACAGTACCAGACAATTCTTGCTCAGGCCTCTAATTCCGCACCAGCATCAAGCTTTATTTCCTGCCTCATCTCTGCTCCGCCAGGCACTAGTTCCACGAGTAACTTTGCTCCTCCGTCTGCTTCTATGTGGACTCGGCCTAGTCAGCTGGCAGGTCATGCAGTAGTGTATACTCTTGCCTCTGTTTCTCCTAAAAACATAAGTGTTTCCACGCATACTTGGATTATAGATAGTGGTGCGACTGATCATGTGGCGTGTTCGTTAGATTCGTTCGTTGATTTTAGGCCTATGATTGGTATGTTTGTTACTCTACCTGACGGGTCTCGTATAAGTGTCACACATATATGATCCGTGAAACTTTCTGATACATTACTTGTCCAAAATGTATTAATGATTCCTTCATTCACATTCAATTTACTCTCTGCTAGTCAGTTAGCTAAACAAAATGGGTGTGAATTGATTTTTTCCCATTCTTACTACTTGATTTAGGATATCCAGTCTAGGCAGAGGATTGGTACAACTAAGCATATTGCCGGGCTGTACTACCTTCAAGACGAGTCTGGACGAGATTCCTACTCTCTATCCCTTCTTATTACTTTATCTGCTGTGTTTGACACAACTATTAGACAGTTTGATCGATGACATTATCGTCTGGGCCATAGTTCAATTCTTGGTCTTAGTGATAGTAATAAGTGTCAAAATTTGCATTGTTATGTTTGTCCTATTGCTAAGCATCGTCGTTTACCTTTCCCGTCTAGTACTTCTCAAGCTACTGCTATGTTTGATTTGGTTCATATAGATATATGGGGTCCATATGATGTTCCCACCATAGATTGACATAGACACTTTCTCACTATACTTAGATGATCATTCTCAAAACACTTGGTGTTATTTTATGGTTTCTAAGTCAGAAGCTAGGTCTCTTGTGCAGTCTTTCTGTGTCTATGTTCAAACATAGTTTTCTCAACAAGTTAAGGCCATTAGGACTGATAATGGATCTGGGTTTCACATGCCATTATTTTTTATAATTCCTTAGGAATCATTCACCAAATCACCTGTAATGCCACATCACAACAAAATGGCTGTATAAAGCGCAAACAAAAGCACATTATTGTTGTTGCTAGGGCTCTTCTAATGCAAACTTCTCTCGCGGTTAAGTTTTTGGGACATGTAGTTTTGCATGCTGTCCATCTCATTAATCGGTTACCAACTCCAGTCCTAAGTAATAAGTCACCCTTTGAAATTCTTTTTCACAAACAACCTGATTATAAATTGTTGCGAGTTTTTGGTAGCTTGTGTTATGCATCAACATTAGCACACAATCGTGCCAAATTATCACCTAGGGAAGAGCCTTGTGCTCTTCTTGGTTTTCCTTTTGTTACAAAAGGGTATAAGCTTTATAGTTTAGTGGCTCACAAGTTCTAATAATCTAGGGATGTCCTTCCATTAATACATTTACCCCTTTTCCAACAATAGTCTGTCTCTATCTTGTTTAGATCAGGTTCTATCTTTTATTAAGGGGTCGTTTGGAGAATGGGATTTAGGCCGTGGATTCATTGAATCCGTAGATTTTGTAGAAAGCTATGTTTTTTTGTTGCTTTTTGTATTGTGGATTTTAGCTTTAGAGATTTCAAATCTCTAAAATCTATGGATATCAAATCTCTCATAATCAGAGAGATTCTATATCTTGATTCATGAGATTTTTTTTTCTCCTACCTTTTCTCTTTCTTTTATTTATTTATCATATTAAATATATTTACTAACAAAGTTTTTAATATTTCTCGAACTACTCTAATTTTTTATTAAGGATAAACATGTTATTTAATATAAATTTTTTATTTTTATTACCATTGAATGTTAACAATCACAGTTACCAAACAATAAACATTTTAAAATCTATTTTCAACAATTCGAAGAGTTAGAATCTTTAGATTGTTTACAATCTATAGATTTAAACTCATATTCTCCAAACGACCCCTAACATTGAGCCTCTTGAATGTTCTACTCTTCCTTCCTTAGTTCCTCCTTCTCCTTCACACTTAGAAAATTCATCTGCTTGCATTCCGACCGACATTTATGTTTCTCCCTCTCCACCTAATACTCAACCTAGCAGTAGCATTCCTCTTAGGTGTTATGATCGACTTAGCGTCCCTCCTAAGAAACTAAGTGACTATAATAGACCTACCACTAACACTAAGTACCCCCTCTCTCAAGTTTTGTCTTATCACAGGCTCTCTCCCAATCATAAGCGATTTGTTATGGTTGTCACAAATGAGACTGAACTAGCCACTTAGACCATCTCCATCTCATAAATTGATAAGCAATTTCTGTAATGGTCCCTACAGCCACATCACCAACTTTAGCAATTACCTCATCCAACAATTTCCAGCCATCTCCATCCCTACAATCTTTTAGCAATTTCTATTGGTGGGACCTATAAAATATCAATATCATTTATTATTTTCTGAATGATATTTTTGCATAGTTAATAATAGATCATGTATAATGTATTTGACGTTCAAGCAAAAATGAGTATTTAGTAAATTGTATCATAAAATAATAAATAATATATGAATATTTACATATTGTTCAATTATAGATATGAACCTTATTTTTTTCGTATTTGGATGAAAAAATGTCATACATAATTTATTATTATGAAATATATTTCATAATTACTTTTTTAATCGTATTATTAATTTTATATATGAATATTTATATATCTAATTAAAAAACTTAAAAATATAAAGCACAACTACACCATTTTTATAGGAAAAGATGACAAGAAAAAAAAATGAAATGGGTCCCATATGTACATGTGGCATTGCGAAATGACTTCCCAATTTAACAAGCTTGCTAATTTAGCAATAACCACTTCATCCCTAGCAATTGCCACCCATGTGCCACCTCACCCTCCACATCACCTTAACAATTGCTAAACTTTAGCAATGAAGATGGTCTTACAAAGAGGCTGCCAATGATCCAAGGTGGGTTGGCTATGGATTTAGAACTCTAAACTTTGGCAAACACCAATACTTGGACTCTAACTCCATTTCTTCCAGGTAAGCGTGCGATTGGTAACAAATGGGTGTTTCATATTATGTTTGAACATCGTAGTATAGAAAGATATAAAGCTAGGTTGGTTGCAAATGGGTATACTCAGTCCCCAGGTCTGGATTATTTAGAAACCTTTTCTCTAGTAGAAAAACACACTATTGTCCGTGCTTTACTTGCTTTAGCTTCAATAAAAAACTGGCATGTGCAGCAATCTTGATGCTAATAATGCGTCTTTACATGGTGATTTAGTTGAAGAAGTCTATATGAAGGCACCTCCGGGCTTACACATAACCTCTAAGAATTTAGTTTGCAAGCTTAATAAGTCATTATATGGTCTAAAACAGGCCAGCTGGCAACGGAATCACAAAATCACTCAATTTCTTGTCAATGTTGGTTATTCGCAGTCTAAGGCAGATTACTCTATTTACCAAGTCCAATATGGGCAAATTTCTTGCATGTCTTGGTTTATGTGGAAGATGTGATTCTTGATGGTGACGATTTAGATGTTCTTAACTTGCTTAAGTCACAGCTAGATGATGCATTTAAAATCAAAGACTTAGGTCCCCTGAAATATTTCCCAGGACTAGAGATTGCTTGAACTTCTGTTGGGTTCTTTATTTGTCAAAGGAAATATACTCTTGATTTGCTACATGATGTAGGATTACTTGCTGCTGAGCCTACTGCCACATCTCTTGTTGCTGGAGGACAACAATCGGTAAATGGTGGTGATCGAATTTCTGACCCAGAACTTTATCGTAGACTTGTAGGGCGTCTCTTATACTTGTGTCATACACAACCTGATATAGTTTATGTTGTACATCATCTCACTCAATTCATAAGTGCTCCTTCTAATGTACATCTTACTGTTGCCTATCGAGTCCTTAGATATCTTAAGAATAATCCTAGTCAAGGTATTTTCTTTCCTAGCAATTCTTCTATCAAACTCACTGGTTTTTCAGATAGTGATTGGCCTGGCTGCCCGGATTCTCGACGCTCTGTTACTGGGTATTGTGTGTTTCTTGGTGATTCAGTTATCAGCTGGAGATCAAAGAAGCAGCCCACTGTTTCTCGATTCTCCATTGCAGCCGAATATAGAGCCATGGCAGATCTAACATGTGAGGTACACTGGTTACATTATAATTTAGGACTTGGGTGTTTCTTTTTCATCTCGTACTGTCTTATTCTGTGATAACCAGTCCACAATTCATTTAGCTGAAAACCCAGTCGTCAATGAACGCACTTATCACATTGAAATGGATTGTCTTAGTCTCTTAGAAATTATCAAAGGATAAAAAGAATTCTTCCCTTTTACCTTTGCATCCAACATAATGTATGAGATATTTTATGGACTCTAAAGAGAGGAACACTTAACTATTCAGTGATTATGGAAAGTATTAAGTATGAGATTATAATATATTATATTTGGACAAATTGATTAATTGGTTTGATTGGTCATGAGTGCCCCCTAATATTTTTATCCAGACCAAACAAATTATATAAATTAACCAAATCAAGTTATTCGAATACTGCCGGCTAATATGGTTACCACGGTAACCACACAGTCTGAACACCCCTACTAATAATTGTGGAGAGACTTTGGCAGTGGATCCTGAATATTGATGGTGGAGATCTAGGTTTTAGTGATGAGATTAATGTATTGTTATTGGTATATATGATGATGTTGCGGCCGACAGTGAAGCAATCCAAAGAAGTTGTAAATATCTTTTATAACTGCAAGAAGTAAATCAAAGTATCACTTTAACGATTCGATTCTCTTGCACGAGTTATGTCTTTTGCTTTCAGTAATGACTTTTGTTGACGAATAAGTTCGGATGTTGAAAACACTATGATGTATTCGTCTTTCCTACTTTTTCAGTAATTGAATAGTAATTTTAATTATATTATGATTCCAAATAAAAATATACGGTACCACTACAAGAAACTGCACTTTCTGGACGAATTCTATCTCGACGATAACAAATTCGTCACGGAAAGTGTACAATTTGCTACGAATTTCACTTTTTCGTCGCAAAATGTGTGAAGTCCTTTTTGCTATATTTGTCTTTCATCGCAGAATGTATGTTCTGCGACGATTATATGTCGTCGCAGAATGTATGAAGATTTTTTTGCCACTGTCTGTCGTCGCAGAATTTATGGAGACTTTCTGCGAAGATTGTTTTTCGTCGTATAATGTTTTGGACTTTGTGCGGCAATTGTGTGTCATCGCATAATGTTCGGGACTTTCTGCGACGATTATGTGTCGTTACAGTATGTTCAGTGACTTTCTGCAATGATGGCATTTTGTCGCAAAATGTCCAGGGACTTGGACAATGATTTATGTTGTTGTAAAATGTTGGAGACTTTGTGTGTGACGTTTTTCTATCGTCTTATAATGTTTCAAGAAATTTATATTATTGGAACTTAATTATTCGAACTTAAATATTACACATATCTAAACAATACAATAAAATACACGGTAATAAGATATAATTGGTTGTAGAATAATTGGTTTAATTGCTAACTATCTTCTATAACTTATATTATGACTATTTTAGAGCAATCTCTTGCCACGTAGGATACAAGAAACTCCACAATTTTCCATGTCATCATTATCATTTTAGTTCTTCTATAAAATTTTGATGTTCCTCTAAGCTAATAATAATAAAAAGATATATAATCATCATCGAGACTCGAACCTATAATCTGTAAGGCCCAAATTAATATCATTAAACAGTATAACACATGCCTTTTAATGAGATCTCTTGATTTATCGGTTGACTTTTGAAAAAATTATAAAAATTATTTGCCTTAAATTTGACATAAATTAAAGCAACTAAAATATCTATTGTATGTTATATCCATCATACAAATTATTAAAAAATATTCAATAAGAAATTAAAAATCTTTGAACAAAAAACATAAATGAAAAAAATAAGATGAAAAGCCAAAAATCTATTGATATCCAAATCTAAAACAGTTAATTAATTTTTATATCACGTTCATTTTATGATGAAATATCAAAGGAATTGGTATTATATCACACCAACAATATCATATTTTGTCTGTATTACTATAAATATGTGTACTAATACACTTATATAGTTATATACTAGAATATAACAAGTTTTGTGCATACTACATTAGTTACTGATAATATTATGAACTCAAAATGTTAACGTATTTATGTAACATGTTTCTATACCATCAAATTATTCAAATATATATACATAGTTCAGTCATAAGCATCATAATATACGATAATTCATACACTATAAAATAACTAAAACATACCTACGTACTTTTTCCAAAAAAACATATCATTGTAAATGTCAATTTAGAGTATATTTGTTTGATTTTTTTTTATGTAAACACATGAAATCCAAGTTCGAATGAAATAGTACGTTAACATAAATGTAGAAGTGGTTATGCAATTGTGTTTAATTTTACGGTTATGCAAATGGAGTGTTCTAGACAAGTTTCACAACAATTACCTTTTGTTTTTCGAAATTTTTTGAAGTGGGCTTCGGTTACCTTTTTGCATTTCACCTTCGCTCAAGTCAGCACTGTTTGAAAATTTCCCGTTTCTTTTCCGCCTTTTTTCTCCCAAAAACATAACTTCTTTTTGCATACATTTATATGTCGGCTCTACTCAAGCTCTGTCATTCGTAAAAACATCTTCCGCATTTTACTTATTCTTCATTATTGGTGAGTGAATGATTAGAACATCCTAGGTCACCACCTTTTCACATTCATATGCTGGTATGCATTTGCACTTCACTCAAGTTGGTTTCGTTCCTAAATTCCTTCTTCATACCTATCTATGTTGGGTTTTCAAGATCTCTCATCTAATCAATTCTAAATAGGAAACCTTCCTTTTCCAATAAAAATTCACCAATTACTCTATGCTAGCTATCAATTAATACACGTAATTTGTTTGTTAGAATGTCTACGAGGGAACTCAATTGCGTGATGCAAATATATAACTTGATTTTTTGTAATTGTAATGATGATGGGGAGTAAACTATAATGAGGAACATGCTCATGATACACCACCTTAATTACATGCTCATGATATGCACTAGTCTTTCCCTTTCATTGATCTAAACCACGTTTATTTCCTATGTGCTTATTTACCATAGATGTGAATTTTTTACTCTTAGACCTCATTCAAATACATGTTACTGTCGTGCTGATTTTATTTCAAAATACAAAGTACATCATGAAAAAAGAACTACGCACAACAATTGTATCTTTTCACATTAGTTATATGAGCGGCAAAATAGATCATTCTTTGAATGATGGACATGATTTATACCTATCAATCATTGGACCAATTTACTATCGATTGAGCAGTATAACACCACCAAAATGTTTAACTACTAAGTTTGTTCAGCTACACATTTATCAATTGGAGAAATATACTAAAATAGCTCCCATTCGATCATTACATATGATGATTTGAATTATTTGCGTGAAATTCGTATCACGAGACTGAAAGATATGTTAGACGCTAACAGTATTTAGCCCAAACATATGGATGCACGAAAGACAAAATCAATGAAAAGTTATGTACAACATATGAAGTTGAAAACTGTTGTCAATCAAAGAGCAGATGATCGTGAATGTGGACTTCGAAATGGTGATGAAGTAGTGACTCTTATTGTTTACAGGATCATTGCTCCTATTCACACTCAAAATAAATGTAGCGACCCTCCTATATAATAATATTTAAATAATAAATTATCTTAATAAGCATATATAAAGAGAAATAGTATCCTACCATTATTGATAAAATGACAAAATAAAAAACATCCCGTCCATCGGGCGTGCACAAAACTAATATTAGTATATGTGTGGACGAGGTTGATGGTTCGAATCCTGCACAACTCTTCCCCTATTTCTTTTCAGAGAGAGGGACAGTGACAGGTAGGAAACGTTGGGGCAAAGTTGTAAATTTGCAGGATTCAGATAAATGGTGTTGGGCTTGAGGAAACCCTAGCCGCCTCCCCCTTTATTTTTCGCCTTCTAGCGATTCCAACCCTATTCAATCTACTTATCCTGCTTACAGCCCTTCTAGTGAGTATATACTCACACAGAAAGATGGTTGTCCACGTCGCCAAGCTGTGATCGAAGGGTGGTGGAGCAGTGGCGCCAGATTGTGAGGGGGGAGAGGCTGATCGGTTCAGCTGGCCAAAGCCAGTTTCACCTATCAAGAAAAGTGGGTCCACTTTTTTCAAATTTCACCAACTTTTTCAAATAAACCCACTTTTTCAATTCTCTCTCCACCATTCTGTCTATTTCTTTCCTCTTTCCAAAAATAAAAAAGCTTCCTCTTCCCTTTCTCTCCCGCAAAAACTTTCTCACTTCCTCTCAAGAATATGACGACGACGAATGGTGCACGCGACGGTTCTTGACGGCGACGAAGGCTTGAACGGAGATGGCGGTTAGTTTGGGTGCACGCGGCGGCTGGATGACAACGACGGTGCAGACAGGGGGTGCGCGCGAAGGAACGACCGGTTTGACGGCGAGGAAGCGGCCATAGTTTATTGACGGCGGCGCGACGATCCTTGACGGAGGTAGGCTTCTTCTCCTTCCTTTATTCATGATACGAATGTTTGTTTGCTTCGATTTGAGTTAGGATTTCATGGATTCGACGGGATCTAGGTTTTCTTTTGTTCGTTTTCTTTTGCTTTGATTTTTTAATGGGTTTTCTGGATTCATGGAAACTGCTGGATCTGGATTCTTTCGTTTGCTTAGTTATTTTGGATGTGTTTTCTGGATTTGTTTTCTGTGGCATGGGATGCGAGTTGTTTTGTGGGTTTGGGATATCAGTATAAACTTGTATGGATAGTTTTATTTAGTATCTGGATATCAATTCATTGATATTAGTTTTGATCAGTAGCGATATCAGTTGTATACTAACCTAGATATTTTTTTATGTATCCGGTATCACCTCATTGATATTAGTTGTCATCTTTAGGGATCATAGTTTTATGATAGACAAGGTTTTTGTTTGACGAATGTGGATATGACTTCATTGATATGACTTCTAAACGTTAGGGATATTGTTCATGTGAAGTCCAAATATTAGTTAGCTTATGTCAGGATATTTGTTTGTGTAAGAAAATCAAAATGGCAAGAATTGGTTCGTTTTATGGTTGATATTACTTTGTTTCATGCTTGATATCTGTTCTTTTCATGTTGGATATTAGTTTGATGTATATTGGTTCGTTTTGTGGTGGATATTAGTTCATTTCGTGCTGGATATTTAGTTAGTTTCATGTTGGATATTAGTTCTGTAATTTACTGGCCTGATATTAGGTATGTCATTGGTGGATATTGTTTTTGGTTTGTCTGAATATTACTCTGGATGTATGGATTATAGTTACCTTATATTAGTTCTGTGTGGCGGGGATATCAGTTGATTGATACCTAGATATTTATCTATGATTCCAGGGATATTGGACAATGGCAAGAACTAAAACAAAAGCGAAGAGACCGCAACTAAGAGAAGGACCATCCCAACCTCGTCGTGGCATGATAGAAACATGGGGGGCTCGGAGGGACATGATCAAAAAGATTATCGAGAGTTTGATCAAGCAAGACAACATATGAACTATTCCTTTTTCGTTTTTGTGTTGTTGTACTTTTTGGATTTTAGATTATGGGATTGCCAATTTGGAATGACATTAATACTAGTTGTATCGCGGTTTGTCAAAAAACAACTTTATTTTATATGGATTTGTTTAAACTCAATATCAACACAAACAAACATAGATAAACATACACACAAAACAAATATCCACACCACCCAGACTAATATCCCATCGTCTAATACCAATATCTAGTCGGTCCATAGTTAATATCCTCACCATCACAAACTAATACCCACTACACACAAAATAATATCTTACCATCGCAAACTAATACTTACTTGGGAGCTGCCGCCTCCCTTGGTTTCTTGGGGAAGTATCCCCATTTTTTTGATACACGGAAAATTACCCACACATCGCAAACTAATATCCTCCCATCACATAATAATATCTTATCACCACAGACATTTATCAAATCACTCTACGTTGTGTTCATATCCATTTCCACAACATCATCTTCTAAACCCTAAACCAAAACAACTCTCACTCTAAACCCTAAAAAATATTCACCCGATCCAAACTAATATATCACTGTCTCAAACCAATATCCAGTCATTAAAAATAATATCTCAAAATCACAGTCAAATATAAACTATACACAGACTGATATCTCACTGTCGCAGACTAATATTCGACTACACAGACAAAATATCGAACCACCATACATTTTTTTCTAAACCACGAACCCTAAACTCTAAACCCTAAGTAGGTCAAGTGGAAGTTGTTGTAATTAGTTGGGGGGTTTCGAAATTATTTTGGTGAAAAGTAAACATTAGCTTTGTGATGTAAAAGGAGGATGGATACTCTTTTGAGCAAGCACAAATTTTATTAATCAGAAGGTCTAATAGGAACAACCATGTAGACTAATAGGAACAACCATGGTTTCGACCGAGCCCATCACTTCTCGCTGTCGTCTCTTGTTCTGCTTTGACTCTCGCTGGGCTAAGAATCCGGAAGCTTGGAATATGGTGGAGGACAATTGGAACCGACAGGTGAATTGCTCCCCATGTCCGACTATGGTCTAAACTAAGCTTAAACTGCTTCCCCATCTCTATTTTAAATGAGGAGGATTGGGTGTGACCAATTCTGAGAGGCGTATTCGATCACTTAGAACTGAAATTGACCGAAGATTATCAATCAAGTTTAAATGGTTTAAATCCACGACCGGGGATTTGAGATTGGGTTTCGGGCCTGGCAGACTAAAATTTACGTTTTCAGTTAAAGATTTTGCTTATTTTCTGGTTTTTTGTTATTTTATTTGCCCTGTGCGATATAAAATGGCTTATACACGAATTTTGAGTAAGTTTTTGCAGAATATTGAATTTTCTTGGTTCATTGAGTATTAGACTTGTGAATTTTTCTCTGTATCAATCAAGTTTTTCCCTTGATTGTAGTAAATATTCTATCTTTTATATTATTAGAGTCTTCTCCCATATTTGTGTTGAGATTTCACTTTCCATTTCATCCTATCTCAAAACGTAAAACCCTAAAAATATGTTGGGTAAATACAATTTAATAGTCAAACTTTTCATTTTAAACAAAATAATAGCCAAATCTTTTGTTGATGTGGCAAGAAATTAAATATTTGACAATGCTACATAATTAATTATCAATCTTAGGGAAAATAAAAAATAAACTAAAATAATTTTTCTCCTGTCTCTCTTCCCCTTCCTTTGTTTTATGCGTTTCCGAGTTACAGATCTGGCGCCAGCTTCTCTTCTTCTTCTTCCTCCGACAATTCGATCTCGGTCCCGTTCCAGATCCCAAGTTCTAAACCCGATTCGAACCTCTACCACCGCCGCCTACGAAGCTTGGCTGAGGTAGGAAAAATCGTTCGCCAGTGGCAACGGAGGAGGATGAATTCTGAAAAATAATCGAGATCGTTGAAGAACATCTACGACGACTTGAAGAAAGCAAAGCAACCGATTTCACCTGGCGCCCGGCTCGCCAGGATTGCAAATAAGGAAAAGATTGGAGGCGGCGAAGACGAGATCTGTCCTTCTTCTACTTCGGCTAGTTCCTGAGATTCGTCAATTTCCTGATCCTGCGCAAACGTCGTCGTTCCGCGGCGTCGTCGTAGAGGAATGAGGTCGGTGAAGTTTTATCCGATGAGCATCATCAGCGGAAAAGCGTGGCCACCATGGAGGAGATGACATTCATAGAGAGTCTTCGAAGGGGTCTGGGACTAGGCATCTCTTCCCCCAGTCCACCATTGTTGAAAATTCGAATATGAGTGGGCTCTAATTTTGGAGTTTTTCTTGGGTAAAACTTGAATTGATTTGAATTTTTACTGATTATAATGGGTTCAAAATTTTGTTGGTTAAGAAGTTGGAGGAGATTAGGGGAAGTTGGCTAAGACTGGAGAATTGGCTGCCGGAGATGGAGAATATTATGTGCGGGGGGTACGGACAAGAAGTAGAGAGGAGAGGGAAGAAGCAGAGACAAAAAATTAGTTGGGTTTATTTTTTATTCATTATTTTATTTTGTCCAAATATTAATCTACTAATTAATAAATATTCATGTGGTATCAAATGGTTGACTCTTGCCACATAATCATTCCAAGTCCAACTCAGTAATAAAATTGCCACAGCAGAGTCAACTAACAGTTGACAGGACGAAAAGTTAACGGTTTGGCTATTAAATTGTTTTTAAAAAAATTTGGCTATTAATTTGTTTAAAATGAAAGGTTTGGCTATTATATTTTATTTACCCAAATATCTTTTCTTTATCGTTCTTGAATCCGAATGACTTTGATAACTACGGATATCGGTTCAGCGCTCGTATCAAGTGCTCATCATCACCATCAAACAGAGGAATACACACCTGAGCAAACCCTGAATTTTCACTCATCCTTATTGAATCTCTCACATAGTGGTGTTTCTTATCATAAACTAGTTGGTCTCAATAACTTGAGTTAGTGGGAGAAGGTTATGTTGGATCTTATACCACATTCTTACACGCCCCCTCAAACGAAAGCCAACTCACGGGCTTGAAGTTCTCGCCTGACCCAAGAACCTCCATGCGTCTTGCTGGTTATATCCCCTTCCTGGCGCACCAATTGTTTATCCCTAGAAGCCTTCTTCCTTCTGCTTCGCGCTCCGATCTCCAACGCGCTTCCCATCACACGCCTGCCTGCACACACAAGCGCCTAGCGGACCAGGCAGATATGTTAGCACTCTGATGCCTAAGTGAGAACCCTTCTTTTTAGAGAGAGAAGTGGGGAACAGTTCTAGTAAGAGAAGCAAAACTGAGTAAATGAGGTTTACCTATTTATACTCGGGGCGAGATAGACCGGTATCTGTCACTCTCGCCCTGTGTCAGGTCCGCCATAAATGCTCCGTACAACCCTTGCGTATGCGCCTCGACCACCTGACACTTTCGTCAGGGGTTTCAGGCGCATGACATCATGTGGCCAGCCTTTCGTATACTTCCGACCGTTGGTGTCTTTTGTCCTATGCGCCTCCTCTCAGGTGCCTGGTCCCACTTGTCTCACGCGCCCTCCAACCCAAGACTCTTGCCCCCCCCCCCCCCATGGGCCTCTTTGGGTTTCTCCTGTTGGGCCATGGATAGCCCACCTCTGTGCCTTTCTAACAATTTTCCTTGGGCCTTTCCCCCTTGGGTTGACCCTAGGCCCATACTCATTCCCCCAACAAGATCGGTGAATTTTTATCCGATGAGCGTCATCAGTGTAAAAGCGTGGCCACCATGGAGGAGATGAAATTCATAGAGAGTCTTCGAAGGGGTCTGGGACTAGGCATCTCTTCCCCCAGTCCACCATTGTTGAAAATTCGAATATGATTGGGCTTTAATTTTGGAGTTTTTCTTGTGTAAAACTTGAATTGATTTGAATTTTTGCGGATTACAATGGGTTCAAAATTTTGTTAGTTAAGAAGTTGGAGGAGATTAGGGGAAGTTGGCTAAGACTGGGGAATTGACTGCCGGAGATGGAGAATATTATGCGCGGGGGGTACGGATAAGAAGTAGAGAGGAGAGCGAAGATGCAGAGACAGAAAATTAGTTGGGTTTGTTTTTTTATTCTTTATTTTATTTTGTCCAAATATTAATTTACTAATTAATAAATATTCATGTGGTATCAAATGGTTGACTCTTCCCACATAATCATTCCATGTCCAACTCAGTAATAAAATTGCCACAGCACAGTCAACTAACAGTTGACAGAACGAAAAGTTAACGGTTTGGCTATTGAATTGTTTTTAAAAAAGTTTGGCTATTAATTTGTTTAAAATGAAAGGATTGGCTATTATATTTTATTTACCCAAATATCTTTTCTTTATCGTTCTTGAAACCGAATGACTTTGATAATTACGGATACCGGTTCCGCGCTCGTATCAAGTGCTCATAATCACCATCAAACAGAGGAATACACACCTGAGCAAACCCTGAATTTTCACTCATCCTTATTGAATCTCTCACATAGTGGTGTTTCTTATCATAAACCAGTTGGTCTCAATAACTTGAGTTAGTGGGAGAAGGTTATATTGGATCTTATACCACACTCTTACACGCCCCCTCAAACGAAAGCCAACTCACCGTCTTGAAGTTCTCGCCTGACCCAAGAACCTCCATGTGTCTTGCTGGTTATATCCCCCTTCCTAGCGCGCCAATTGTTTATGCCCAGAAGCCTTCTTCCTTCCGCTTCGCGCTCCGATCTCCAACGCGCTTCCCGTCACACGCCTGCCTGCACACACAAGCGCCTAGCGGATTGGGCAGATCCGTTAGCACTCCGGCGCCCAAGTGAGAACCCTTCTTCTTAGAGAGAGAAGTGGGGAACAGTTCTAGTAAGAGAAGCAAAACTGAGTAAATGAGGTTTACCTATTTATACTCGGGGCGAGATCGACCGGTATCCGTCGCTCTCGCCCTGTGTCAGGTCCGTCATAAATGCGCCGTACAACCCTTGCGTATGCGGCTCGACCACTTGATACTTTCGTCAGGGGTTTGAGGCGCATGACATCATGTGGCCAGCTTTTCGTACACTTCCGACCGTTGGTGTCTTTTGTCCTATGCGCCTCCTGTCAGGTGTCTGGTCCCACTTGTCTCACGCGCCCTCTAGCCCAAGACTCTTGCCCCCATGGGCCTCTTTCGGTTTCTCCTGTTGGGCCCTGGATAGCCCACCTCTGTGCCTTTCTAACAATTTTCCCTGGGCCTTACCCCCTTGGGTTGACCCTAGGCCCATACTCATTCCCCCAACAAGGTCGGTGAAGTTTTATCGATGAGCGTCATCAGCGGAAAAGCGTGGCCACCATGGAGGACATGACATTCATAGAGAGTCTTCGAAGGGGTCTGTGACTAGGAATCTCTCCCCCCAGTCCACCATTGTTGAAAATTCCAATATGAGTGGGCTCTAATTTTGGAGTTTTTCTTGGGTAAAACTTGAATTGATTTGAATTTTTACTGATTACAATGAGTTCAAAATTTTGTTGGTTAAGAAGTTGGAGGAGATTAGGGGAAGTTGGCTAAGACTGGGAAATTGGCTGCAGGAGATGGAGAATATTATGTCTGGGGGGTACGGACAAGAAGTAGAGAGGAGAGGGAAGAACCAGAGACAGAAAATTAGCTGGGTTTATTTTTATTCTTTATTTTATTTTGTCTAAATATTAATTTACTAATCAATAAATATTCATGTGGTATCAAATGGTTGACTCTTGCCACATAATCATTCCAAGTCCAACTCAGTAATAAAATTGCTACAGCAGAGTCAACTAAGAGTTGACAGAACAAAAAATCAACGGTTTGGCTATTAAATTGTTTTTAAAAAAGTTTGGCTATTAATTTGTTTAAAATGAAAGGTTTGGCTATTATATTTTATTTACCCAAATATCTTTTCTTTATCGTTCTTGAAACCAAATGACTTTGATAACTACGGATACAGGTTCCGCGCTCTTATCAAGTGCTCATAATCACCATCAAACAGAGGAATACACACCTGAGCAAACGCTGAATTTTCACTCATCCTTATTCAATCTCTCACATAGTGGTGTTTCTTATCATAAACCAGTTGGTCTCAATAACTTGAGTTGGTGGGAGAAGGTTATGTTGGATCTTTTACCACACTCTTACACGCCCCCTCAAACGAAAGCCAACTCACGGGCTTGAAGTTTGCAGAGGCCCACCGTACCTTGTGATTTAATCAATTGTTAATATTGGGGGTCGTGGAGATTCGAACACACGACCACTTGGTCAAACCAGCTCTGATACCATATCATAAACCAGTTGGTCCCAATAGCTCGAGTTGTTGGGAGAATTTTATGTTGGATCTTATACGACACTCGAATTGTTGGGAGAAGGTTATGTCAAGAACCAGTTAGTCCCAATAACTCGAGTTGTTGGGTGAAGGTTATGCTGGATCTTATACAGGCTCATGTATGGTACTTAACCACTTCCTTACACGCCCCCTCAAACGAAAGCCGACTCATGGGCTTGAAGTTTGCACAGACCCGCCATACCATGTGCTTGAAAGACAACGGTTAATATTGGGGGTCGTGTGGATTTGAACACGTGACCTCAAGGACAAACCAACTCCGATACCATGTCAAAAACCAGTTAGTCCCAATAACTCGAGTTGTTGGAAGAAGGTTATGTTGGATCTTATACATGCCCATATATGATACTTAACCACTTCCTTACATTTCTCTCCCTATAGTAACAATATCTCATAATAAATCACTCTGTGTTTCCCATAATCCCAAAATCAATGATTTCACACAATGTTCACACTTTTGCAGTACGTTTCCTTTGATTCACCAACCTACTGTTCTTATGGCAGTTGTGGCTGTCCTCTGGCGTTTATTTGGCAATCTCGTAACTGGGTTGTCGTTGAAAGAAAACAGTTTGGGTTTTCTGCCTCGATGCGTCAGTTCCAGCAGCAATATGAGGAATGGGTCCGGCTTCTGGTGGATAAAGCCCCCCTTTGTGTCCAAACAGAGCACACCCATCAGGAGCCTGGTCGGGTGGACGGGGCTGTGTGCATGTGGGATGGGACTGTCCGGAGTGGTTCGCACTCGGCTGGAGGTTTGGTTATTCTCACCCCGGATCGGGAGGTTTTGATGGCGAAGGGTGTGCAATTTCCGTGGTTTGATGACCCCTTGGTAGTGAAGTTGTTCTGTGGTGTCAGTCACTCGGCTTGGCGGATATTACCTTTGAAAGGGATGCGGAAATTATCATTGAGAAAATCAACCGCAGGGAGGCTAGTGATAGTCGGTTAGGTGCTGTGCTGGAGGAGCTCATTCAGATTTTTACCAGTAATCCAGGGTTTAATGTTAGATTTGTAGGTCGGCGTAGCAATAGAGTAGCCCATTTGGTGGCTAGAAAAGCCCTCTCTTTATTCCCAACTATGAGTCGTTCTTTTGATTTCTGGGCCTGGCTAGGTTCCAGGATGTAATACCTTTTTTGATCAATACATGATTATCTTTTGTAAAAAAAAAAAAGTTCACACTTTTGCAGTAAAACTCACAAGCTCTTGGTTACAGTATGCCTTTTGCTCTCATACCACAATATTAGCAAGTTGTTGGCAAACTAACCAGTTTTTATTGAAATCAATGCAACTACCCAAACACAATGTCAATAGCCGTTTCTTACAATCTCGTCTGAAAACCAACCCACGTTTGACCCCATGACCCTTAAAACTAGCTAACAAACCTTCCATTAACTTTAGTTATAAGCTACTGGCTCAATTGCATAAGATAAACACGAGTTCTGACACAATAATAGACTCTTATGACCGAACTGAAATTGACCAATACAACACAGCAAAACCTAAACAGTTGAATCCTTGTGTTGGCGCTAAACTTCTACATGTTATGTCTGTTATGTCCTGCTTTAAATTCCCTCTCTCTCTTTGCCGGATCTTGGATAAGCATGTGGCACGGTTTTGGTGGGGCTGGAGAACGGACAGGGTAAAATGCACTCGATGTCTTGGCGGAACATATTCCGCAGTAAACATGAGGGAGGGATGGGGTTTCGCCATTTTGAGCACTTTAATCAGGCATTGTTCGCTAAGATTGGGTGACGTATTTTAAATGATCCTGATTCGCTACTCGCACAGGTTTATAAAGGGATGTACTTTCCGAGGGGAAGTTTTCTTGAGGCGAAGGCGCTTTCTCGTCCCTCTTGGGGGTGGCAAAGTATCCTATTTGGGTGCCAATTGTTGAATCAGGGGCTCCGGTGGCAAATTGGTAATGGCCAGACGACCCCGTTACTTGAGAATAGTTGGGTTCCGTGCCTGCACCCACTGGTTCCTACGTTTAACCCCTGTGTCTTGGCCCGCTGATGGGGAATTAAGGGTTGAGACTGTTATAAACACGGAGGATGGCTGCTGGTGTGACACTAGACTGGCCCAATGGTTTGATCCTCTTACCTGTCGTGCCAATAAGGAAATTCCTTTACCTCCTGATAAAATTGAGGATCGTTTAATTTGGCATGGTACATCGGATGGGTCATTCACAGTGAAAACAACTTATCATTTGGCTGTCCAGTTGGACAAGAAGGATGGTCGGTGGCGCTCTTTAGCCAGTTGGATGGACAGGTCTAGCTGGATCTGAGTCTGGGCAGCTCCCATTCCTCCAAAACTAAGGGTCTTCCTATGGCAAATCTTCAACCGACTACTTTCTACTACGAAAGCTCTGAGGGAAAGGAAGGTCCAGGTCCATCCCCGGTGCCTAGTTTGCTAGGCTGAGTCCGAGACCTTGGAGCATTTATTTCTGGAATGCCCAGTGGCGAGAGCTCTATGGGATTACGCGGGGTTGGATTACTTGGGTCAGAGGTTGCCTCGTCACATTTTTCCTTTGTTCCTAAAGAGGTTGATGAATATCATCCAACAAGACCATTTGGTTATGACGGTTACCGCGGTCCTTTGGAGAATCTGGTGGTCCCGAAATTAGGTCGTCTTTGAAGGTAAACAGTTTGGCATTCCACCTTTAATGCAGCAATATCATCTGCAGTACCATGAATGGATTAGCTTGCCAGTTGATAGATCTCGGGGCCCTCCTATTCCGATTCCCCCGGTGGTTGACCATCCCGACAACCCTATCACTTGTATGTGGGATGGGGCGACTCGGTCTGCTTCCCACTCAGCCGACAATATGGTGGTCAAAAGTCAGACTGGGGGAAATCTCATGGCCAGAGGACTTCAATTCAGGGGCATCTACGACCCTTTGGATGCTGAAGCTCTGGCCCTCCGGGAAGCGATACTCTGGTGTTGGGATTCCAGTTTTGCGGTGGTGCGCTTTGAAGGGGATGCTAAGGTGCTTATTCACAAGATCAACAGTCGGATGCTAGGGCTAGCCGAGTGGGGGCGCTGATGGAGGAAATTATTGGTGTTATGAGGTCGTTGCAAGGTTTTTCGGTCCGGTTTGTAGGCCGGCGTAGGAATAGGGTAGCCCACTTGGTGGCTAAAAAGGCCCTTCATTTGTAGCCGACTGCGAGTCTTTTTTATTTTATTTTCTGGCCTTGTTAAATTCTAGGGTGTAACTATCTATGTTTCTTATCAAGATATCGATTATCTTTTGTAAAAAAAAAGGCTTAGTCAAGTGCAAGGAAGTGGAAGAACGTTTCCTTTTGGGCTAGAAGTGTCGGAGAAAACATTGCTTAATTGTGATTAATAATGCCTAAGCGGCAGGGATTGTGACTAAGCAGTCACCTAGGCCCACTCAATTATGGCTAGGCATTTTCCATTTCAATTCTTCCGTTTTCCATCTCTTCGCCCTCACAAACTGCTAAGTGCTAGCTGTGTGCAATTGGAATCAATCGGTATGTTGTGTGCAATTGGAATTAATCAGCCGTTGTCGTCGAATGTTTCTAGTCGGCAACGAGTTCTTTCACCTAGATCGGGACCAAACAAACTAAAAAGAAAAAAAAATATTTTGCTCGTCCCTTACCTTGTCGGCAAAGTCCTAAACCGCACCCCCTGGTGCGTTTTGTCATTAAACCGCACCTTTGGGGTGCGGATTAGTTTTCTGGTCCAAAACCGCATCTTGGCCATGCGGTTTGCGATCTGACCTAACCAAACCGCATGGCCTAGATGCGGTCTAGGCCTGACCTAGCAAAACCGGACTTTGGGGGTGCGGTTTTGCTTCTCCAAAACAAACCGCACCCTCAAAGTGCGGTTTTGGCAACACAAACCGCACCCCCCCCCCTCTCCCAATGCGGTTTGTGTGTCAATTATTTTCCGACAGCATACATACAACCATGCAGATTCACAGACGTGGGGCTGCATGGCAGATGAAAACCGCACCTCTAAGGTGCGGTTTTCATTGATGATTTTTGCCTATAAAAGGCAGCCCATGAAATCTTCTTCTCTTCACACCTCTCCTTCTCCCTTTTCAATTTTCAATTGTAGCTCCCTATTTTTCTAGTGTTTTTGCGATTAACGTTAACTCGTAAGTTTATTTTGTATTACTTTTTATTGTGAATTGTGATTTTTATGATATTAGTTGAACTACTGTTTTTTTGCAGATGGCATTCCAAAAGTTCAAGCTTAGGTTACGGTTGAATGGTTACACGGAAGAGAGCGGAAAGGGGGTCACCTACGTCGGTGGCAATTTTCAGAAAATAAAGGTTGCTATCAGACCGATGCTTGAAGACCTCTATCAAATGTGTATTAACATTACTTGCATGGATGGCACGAGAAGAGTTGATCGTATGGTGTACCGATATCCAAACAGAGAAGGCGGGTCGTTGTGGCACAAGGAATATCTCATAACCACTCAGGATGAGGTAGATGCCATGCTCGAATTCTTGAGGTCCAACAATCTTTCCAGAGCCGAGATGTTCGTTTACACCGAGCTGGTCGTAGGCGTTGGAGGTCATTCTGGAGACGGTCAAACATCTGGTATCCATGGTGGAGGTGAATTATATGGATATCATCCCTACCAAAGTTACCATGATCCTCATTCCTATTTTCAGTACCAAGAGCAAGGTGAAAGTCATCATCAATCTTACCCGTCATATGAAGAAGAAGTTCAACCGGACCATGCCAACCAACCCAGTACAACTTCCAATCAGGAAGTGCTAGTTTTCACAACTATCATTATGGAGCTGATGAAGGTGCCTTTCATGAGCTGGATCAGATGGATGATGCCCTTCAAGCACTAGTCAGTGACCCCTACGATGAAGAAGGAGAGAACAACATCAGTGCAGACAGCTCCGACCCTCTTGAAGGTGCTAATGATTCAGGACCAGAATCAGACTCAGTTAATGATGATGAGGTGGCTCATCACCGTGTACCAGTCCCCTACTACAATCACATTCCAGACGACAATTGGATGGTCGATAGCGGCATGGAACCCCTGAAGGTTCCAATATGGGGTCCACTCACAGGGTTTATGAAGGGCCAACAATTTGGCTCGAAGAAGGAGGTGCGGCACGCCATTGATACTGAAGCAATGACTCGACATTTTGAATGGCACACAACTCATTCCAACACGAAGAGGCTCATAGTCAGATGCCGTAATCATAACGAGGGATGCAATGTTAGGATTCAGGCCATCAACAGCAAGAGACATGGTCATTGGGTCATATCCCATGCGGTGAACACACACACACATGTGTGTCATCCATAACATCCCAAGGCCATCGACAGTTGAAATCCAGGGTGGTTGCTGCGGCTATCAAGCATCTAATTGAGAAAGATCCTAACCTAAAGGTGAAAGTCATAATCGCTGACATTGCAAGTCGTTATGGTTATATGATTAACTTTAAGAAGGTGTGACATGGCAAGCAGAAAGCTCTGGCCGTTGTTGATAAACCGTTAATTGCACATGTTTTTACCCCTATTCCGGAGCCGTTTGAGGTGTTGATTCTCGTGTTTTAGACCGATTTCACGCTAGGTTGTGCTTGTTTGTGATATTTCAGGTCCTAGTACGTGAATGAAGGTTTGGGAGCGAGTTCGGGGTCGATTGGCACGCGTGGCGAGTCGCTGAGGAAGTCACACGGGCACACACAAAACCCACACGGCCGTGCAAGTAATCAATGTGGTCGTGTGGGATTGTGCGAGCCTTCACACGGGCAGGAATAAATCCCACACTGCCGTGTCATGTACCAAAGTGGCTGTGTGGAATTCTGCGAGGCTTCACACGGGCAGCCTGGACGCTCACACGGCCGTGTGAGTCGTGGCCGTGTGGGAAGCCTGAAGTCACTTAACGAAACGCCGCGTTTTGCAAAGTCACAGGAGCAGCTGGGGGAGTCACACGGCCGTGTGACATGGCCGTGTGAGTCGGGATTTTCTGGTTTTAAGCCAATTTCCAGCCACAAGTGAGGGGGATTCGAGTTTTAGAGAGACAGAGCGATTCCTAGAGAGAGAAAGCGACGAACAAGAGTTCCCAAGTGCCCTAGCTTGATCTTCATCACCATTGGAGCCCGGCTTGCGCTTGGAGAAGTGCTGATCGATAACCAGGAGCTGAAATCCATCCTTCACAGTATGGTTTCCGCATCTGAATCTGCTTTTGCTTCTTTCTCCATGGAGTAGTTTTCCCATTCATCTGGGTATGGGAAACCATAGATTTGTATGTTAGGTTTGATTGTATGAACCCAAGTACAGATTCTATGATTTTATTATATTCAATTGAGGTTTGAATGATTGAATGGCATGAATCCTGATCAAATTCCTGTTGTTTCTGCTTTAGCCTAGAATGAGAATATCTACCTAGGTTGATAGAGCACCTTTAATTGAAGGTAGCGAATTGGCGACTTTAGTCGAGGAACCAATTCACTATTCTGTACCGAATTTACGTTGGTAGTGGAGGTTTTGTTCGTTAGGGCCTCAATCTGTTTACTCCGGTGGAGGTTAGTCGCCCGCTAGAGACTCAGATTGAGAGGGTCTGGAGACCTTTAGTCGAGACTTCAGACTGTTTAAGAACCTTCCGCAGTATAACTATCATAGAAACTGAACTTGGTAATTGCAATCTGGCTTAACTGAAGTCTAGGGGGAACCATATCCGGGTGACCTCTCTCGACTTGAAAACAACCGTTTAACTTGCTTTGTGTTTTTGTTTGTTTGAACCTGCACTTAAGTTTTACCGCTAGATAATAAGAATTCGCTGAGTAGTCATCAAATCTAGATCCCGGGTTGACATTAAAACCCAAACCCGCTATACTACGCTTTAGGAAGTGGTTACACTTGGCCAATTCCTAGAGTGACAATAGGAGTGAGTCAAGTTTTTGGCGCCGTTGCCGGGGACGGCTAGGTTGTTGAAGAAAAGTGATTTCTGTTACTTTAGCAATTTCTTTTCGCATTGGTTGCTTTGTCCCACTTGTGCCCTCACGGGTTTGCTTGCTTGAGTGTGTACAGGTAGTGCATGACCTGTAGCCAGTCGGGAGGTTTACTGTCGTTGAATCCAGAGATTGAACGCACCTGTCGCCAACTCAGGAGACAACAGCGAGCTAGACTGGCCACGGAGGAGCGCATAGACGGCCACTTGAGCAGCGATTCTGAGGAAGAGTACGAGATGGAAGGAGATTACAATCCACACCAGGGGAATCCTTAGCAGGCTCCCCCGGTGAATCAGGTCTTGGGGAACAACCCCATACCCCAGGCAGATGGGGTTCATCATCATCCACCGCCGCCGGGTCCCACCTTGGAGTACTACTACACTCCACGGATTGCTGACATCCGCCCGGTCATCCTCTACCCACCTATTCTAGAGAACAACTTCGAGATCAAGCCATGTTGGATTCAACTCATTAAATCCTCTATCCAGTTCCATGGCTTGAAGGATGAGGAGGCAAGGGTACATCTTTCCCGTTTTCTGCAGCTGACGAACGGGTTCAAGCTGAACGGTGTCCCTGATGATGCAATCCGCCTTCACCTCTTCCCCCATTCTCTGGCGGGGAATGCCAAGAGGTGGTTGGAGACCCAGCCCCCATTGTCAATCGCTTCTTGGGATGATCTGGATGACAAGTTCGTGAACAGGTATTACCCAACATCGAAGACCATAGAGATCCAGCGGGAGATCACTCACTTCCGCCAAGAGCCAGACGAGTCACTTCGTGATGCATGGGAGCGGTACATGGGATATTTCTGGCAGTGTCCCCATCATGGCTTCAGTGATGCATTCACAGTGGGGAACTTCTACAGTGCTCTCTCTCCAGAAAACCAGAGGGTGATTGAGTCTCTATGCCCAGGAGGGGATATTCTTACTAAGACTCCACCCGAACTGAACCAGATGATCAGTACCTTGGCTGCCAGAGATCATTCACGGGGGCAGAGCAGCAGAGGCAGACATTCCCGGGACCGTGGTGTGCACGCCATGGAGACCAGATCCGGGATCGAGCAGCAGGTAGCTGAGTTAGTGCAGACATTGAAGCAGCCCAACAGTCTTATTCCGGGCATAGGTTTGGCTACACCTCCAGTAGCTCAATGTCAGTGGTGTGAGAGCTCAAATCACCTAGTGGAAGACTGCCAGGCTATGAGGGAGTCTTCTACTCCCCAACAGCAGTTGGACTTCATCGCCAATGCTCGGCGCCTCAACCCGTACAACAATACATATAATGAGGGGTGGCGCTAGCATCCCAATTTCTCTTGGAGCGGCACCACCACTAAACCACCTGGTTTCCCAGCACCAGCTGGTGGTTTTCAGCAGAGGCAGCCTTTCCAGGATAGACAAGGGCCAACCCCACAGCAGCAGCCCTACCCGCCTAGGCAGGGGAAACCATTCCAGCTGCCACAGCGTCAGTATGCCAAGCCAGCAGCAGCTCCTGCTCTAGATAATCAGAGGACGAAGCTGGAAAATATTCTAGCTTCATTCATGACTACCACTCAGGC